CCAACCAGATTAATATCGGTACGCAATTGCTCTCGGCCGGTATTGTCATCACAGAAATCCCGTCGAATATCATCCTTCAGCGGATCGGCCCGCAGATATGGCTCTCGGTACAGCTGTTCGCCTGGGGTCTTGTCGCGACCTTTCAGGCGTTTGTGCAGAGCTATCCCGCTTATTTAGTCACGAGGCTGTTGCTAGGGCTGTTGGAGGGCGGGTTCATCCCTGGTACAGACGCTTACCCAAGACCTGATTGCAAGCAATAGAGCACTAATGGATGGAGTAGGCGCATTGTACTACCTTTCTACATGGTACAAGAAAGGCGAGACAAGCTTCCGCACCACCCTCTTCTTCTTCGGACAGATGTTCGCAGCAGCGACCTCAAGCCTTATATCCGCCGGCCTACTGACACTAGACGGTAAATGCGGGCTCTCCGGCTGGCAATGGATCTTTCTCGGTACGTCAATCAGGGCCAACCTCGGCAGAACCACCTTTTTAACAATTGTATAGTCGAAGGCCTAATAACTATCTTCGCCGGCATCATCTTCACTCTCCTGGTCCCACCCAAGGCAGGCAATGGGTACGCCCTGATCGGCCTCAAGCGCTGGAGCTACTTCACCCCACGCGAGTCCCACATCATTCGCAACAGAGTCCTTCTTGACGACCCACGCAAAGCCCGTGGCCATATCAAGATCACGGCCAAGGATATCTGGAACACCGTGCGCCAGCCGAACACCATCCAGCACTTCTTCATTACCCTCGTGGCCATGTCAGGGTTCCAGGGTCTGACGCAGTATACGCCGAGCATGATCAAGTCGTTTGGGTTCAGTGCCGTCCGGGCCAATGCGTTGGCGTCGGTGCCGATTTATTGCAGCATGGTTTGGTGTCTGGGGTTGTCTTATTTCGCGTAAGCTTCTCTCTTTAAACATCAGTGGATTCTGAAATGGGGCTAATCGTTTGAGCAGAGATCGCTCCGGACATCGAGGTCCCTTCGTTCTCCTCGCCATCACGTGGAACGTGATCTCGTACGCCTGTCTGCGGACAACGCCTTACTCCTCGTCGAGTTGGCATAAGTATGGTGTCATCGCCGTGGCTAACGTATCCTATGCCAGCATGCAGTGCGTTGATTTCCCTCCCCGTTCCCATGTCCGAAATACTCACAGAGCCAACAGTGTCCTAAACATCGGCTGGCTTTCCGTTTATTGCAAAACACCCCAAGAGCGAAGTGTCTCCATGGCGTATGTTTACCTTCCCACGCCTGGATTTCTTCTTCCGCTTGACACTAGCTAATGACTATAACAGGTTGATCGTAATGGCGGCCAACTGCGCCGGTATCTCCGGATCGCAGATCTTCCGCACATCAGATAAACCGAGGTATCTGCATGGCTTGACGGCTATTTGTGTCTTGGCCGGGGCGTCATGGGTATTGGCGGCGGCACTGGGGGTGCAGTATTATCTGAAGAGGAGAAAAGCTGGGGGGATTGGCAGTGGAGTATAGATTCCGCCGTTGAGATAACGGTATTCTTGCACTAGTATGACCCGTAATGATCAAATATGTATATATTTCAGGTTCATAAACTCTTCGTTATTAGAGATTTAAGATAGAATCTGGGCTTTCTGTCCGACATCTAGTTCGTTCCACGTGCCGCAGGCACCAAGAGGCCAGTGTGTAGTATAAGTAGTATGGCAATCAGCCCCCTAAAGAACAGAGAAAAGAAAAAACGAAAAAAAAAAGGGGGACAAGGCAATCAATACCCACATGTACAGATCCCAACCCTCTCCCAAGCAACGCCATGGAAATGAAAATAATTATATACATACAATCAACCACGATATCAACTGAAGCCTGCAACCCCGAATTTGACCGACAACTCCAGACTTGCTCGAACTCAAGGTTTGACGAGCCAGCCGACCGAGCCCGCTATTGCGGCAATCATCATCACCATCAGGATATAAGCGCCCGCTTTATCCGCCGTGGTAATCGGCTTCGGCTTAGAGGGGTCCTTATCCCCTCCCGTGGAAGGCACGTTGTGTTCCTTCGCGTCCGGGTTCGTATCGATCGTGTTGGGTGATTCGGTTGCCATCAGCATCAGATTGGCCGTGACACCGCCTAGGGCCGACATTTGGGCTTCGAGGCCCTTGACCCCGTCGAACTTGTTGGCGCCCCAGGTGAGACCGCACAGATTGCTTTGGCCGTCGGATTGGCCGTTGCACATCTTGGATATGGCTTCAACCGACCCTTGCAGCTTCGGGGCGATCTGATCCTTGGTCGACGGCACAAGGATGGAGGTGAAAGCCAGCCACATGGAGAGGTAGCCCTTGAAACCGATCTGGTTTCGGTCGCAGGACATGATGGGCTCGCATGCGACTTCAGACATGGTATTGCCGCCGTACTTGTCCGGGAAGAAGACCTTGAGAGTCGTACCCAGCAGACCGTTGACCCGCTGCAGCCATTTATCATCCCCGTTGGTCTGTATGGATCGTTAGCGAGATGACATGCATTAGGGAGTATTACAAGAAGGACTGACGTAATTGTACAGGAAGGCCGCCCCCGACAAATAGGTCCCATAGTTGTAGGTCCACTGGAGATTGTCGGGACTTTTACACTGGTCGTCGTTGCTGACCGAATCATAGATTACCCACTTGTTGACGTCCATCAGCCCCGACTTGGCCGACCAGTCCCAAATCTTCTCGGCCCATTCGGTATAGGTTTCGTTTTTGGTAAACCGAGCCAACCGCGCAGCTAATTCGAACAGACCGCCGTTGGAGATGGCGTTCTTTAACTGATATCCAGCTTGATAGGGCCAGACCTGCCAGCGCATACCACCCCCACAGGTTTGACCGTCCCAGCGCTCGACCTGCTCGTTGAAGACCGCACGCGCGAGCGAGGTCCACGAAGGTTTTCCATCGCGCTCGGGGAATCCGGCCTCGGACGCAGTGATAGCGGCCAGACCCCAGAACATTTGATCGTCGTTACCCTGCGCACGTGACGGTCAGTGATTTTGCGCCCGAGGCAGAGTAAGGCGCCCTGAGGACGACGAGGACGACGAGGACGACGTACCAGCCACTGACTGTAGTTTTGAGAGAAAAAGTCATAATTTTCGCCCGCCTGGAACATGAGATCATGCGACACCACCGCGTTCTGGCTGTCGTCGCCCGATGCTTGCCAGTATTGAATTAACGTCATGAACATACTTCCGGCGATATACCAGGTATCGGTCAGTTTTCCGGGAATCCCCTCCGTCTGGTTCTGCTTGTAGAACTCCATCATCGGCGGGATAATTTCCTGGGCGCCCTTTTTTAGTGAATCTAAAATTCCCGCATTAGAGGCCTAGGAGATCTGGAGCGCATGTCGGACAATTTCGCGACCGTGAAGAGGGGAAAGAAACATACCCTCATTATTGACGACGATGCCCAAGTCCGACCACGCGGTCTGGACGTGGAGAAAGAGGAACAACAGAGTGGCACATAGCTGTCGACTGGTGAGGTAGTGCATCCTCTCCGATAGATTAATATATTGGGGGGAGAATTGAGTCAGGAAGCAACACCGCAGCGACCGGAGACATCGAAAAAAGCTTGGGAGAGAATTGCGAGAGGGAAAAAGTGCATCCCGCAAGGCTTAATTTAAGAAGACCCGTGCCAAGCGCAGTCATGGCCCCATCTTGACCTGACTAAGTCCCTATCATGATGGAGTCCACTGCAGTCCACGCTACCTTGGCAAGATCGGCCCTGGTGAAACGAGTCCAATCATTCCCTCGGGTACGTCATCCAAGACCAGTCTTAATGTTCCCCCCCGTCTTCTTCGTCTTCTTGCCCTCCGGCTTTTCTCTGCTTCGGGGCGCTTGTTGCATGGTTCCCTCTTGCCCGGATGTCACCTGATTAGGGTTGAGGTTACATACGGGCAAAACAGAATGGAAAAAAAAGAGAGAGCTGGACTGAAGGAACACGCCCTGAGGACCCTGTCTCCCTGTCGATCGTGGAGTCAGGGGTCTTTGGAGGGGACTGATTGCTTATCCAACGACCCATGCACCGAAAAAATGGATCCGTGCTCCCCAAATGCGGACTGTGATACGCTGGTAGCCCCGTCCTCTCTCCACTCTCACCACTGGATGATGCGTCCCGATGCTTCCAGTTAATTATAGCAATTCCCGGTTCGTCAACTGGACAAGTTACATTGGCGACGCACACTACCACCCTGGTGGGCCTGCTGCAGCGGTCCTGGGTATTGGCAAGAAAAAAAAGCTTCAAACGAACTCTTCTAGCCTCCTGGACTCGATCGACTATGACATAATTACATTCTTCGGGCGCGGTCTTTTTTTGTTACCCTCCCCAGATCTCCACTCATTGCGGAAATGTGGGGATCGTCTTGTCAAATCGAGTCTAGAATGGATCCAACAAAAAGCTTCAAGCACCACACTATTTACAAGCCACCGTATTTCGCTAGATATTGTCACACGATCCTAGTGCAGATAAATCCATTGTCAATATGAATTGTAATTATCCAAGCATATACTACATCAGAGCACCAGGTATTCCAACTTTATCTCGGAATAAATGTAAATCCACCCAATGAACCTTTGTTGGTCTGAGACATCACCATCTCTTCTTAGCGCTTACTTGCACCGGGGCTATTCCCAATATCAGTGAGGATTATAGGCCTGACACGGGAGAACATGGCTAGTTGAACAATCACGAGCTCTCTGCGAGACAATGAGTCAGTCTGACTCATATATATATATATATACAGGTATCATGATCCCAATCGGTGGACGACATTTCTCTTGCTCAAGATTCTACACTGCTCATGCGACCTCCAAATATTGCACTCTAAGACAGCAGAATTTACCAAAGAGTCATGAAATCCAAGGCCTTAGAGCGTGCCTCTTAGGTAGGCAGAACCCCTACTAACCCAACTGGAAAGATAACTACTGATGAAAGTACTCAGCAATACATTCACGTCTAGCACTCATATTAGACATACAGGGAAAAAAACCAACCAATACAGAATGGAGGCACCAACCCCCATCCTCCAACTGTCTAACCACCTCATCCGCCCCTACTACGCTGGGGACGTAGAAGCCCTCGCCAAAGAAGGTAACAACCCCGAAATCGCCCGTTGGCTACGCAGTCGATTTCCTGAGCCCTACACCATCGAAGACGCCAAGGACTGGATTTCAATCGCGAACTCTGCCTCACCGGTCCTCAACTTCGCTATTAGCCGGCGGGAGGATAATATCGCCATTGGAAGCATCGGGTTAAAAGCCAGAGATGATGTATATTATCGGACGATGGAGATCGGGTACTGGGTGGGTCAAGACCACTGGGGAAAGGGGATTGCTACGGAAGCATTATCTGCAATGACTGCTTGGGCCTTCAAGAGTTTCCCACATGTTTTGAGGCTGGAGGCGGAGGTATATGATGGGAATGAAGCCAGTCAAAAAGTGTTGGCGAAGGCGGGGTATCAGCTTGAGGGGAGAAGAAGGAAAGTCGTGGAGAAAAAGGGCATTGTTATGGATACACTGAACTTCTGCACATTTAGAGCCGAGGAGTAAGTTGTCTTCCTGTTCTTACCTTTTGTTTTCTTTCTTTTTCTTCTCCTTTCTTTTGGTTTTTTCCTTTTTTCTTTTTTTCTGAGGGGGGGAATGCTCTTGTATTGGATCCAAGGGCTACTACACAGAGTAGAGATACCACCGAACAATAATACACATTATCAAGGTTCAAGAAAATGCGGTCTTAAGCAGCTATGTAGGACTAAAGAAATCAGGGATGAGTCTGAAGTTTTTCTACGCTTGGAATCGACCCCCCGATTCAACGGTCTTTTCTCACATACTCCCTTAATATTGACAGTTCACGTGACTAGACTTTTGGATTAGTAAGACATTAATAAGACAACGTCGACTGGATTAGGCCTAACGCCTTGCTGCATAACTCTTGTGCAGAAGGGGCTGCTTACGCTTAGTAATGAATGTTGTCCCAATGCAGGCACTTCGGCACAAGAGTTGAATTGTGGGATCGAATCGCCAAACATAATTCGTTCCCCGGTCAAGAATGGGAACATTGGCGACCCATCATGCTTTGAAATCAATCGTATTTTTTTTTTGATTAGTATAGCTGGTGGTGGTAAAATGGCGCCAACACGTTCCAATTTCAGTGCAATTTTGCGTTTTCACGACTCTCTTGCAGCACGAATCTCATATCCGTACCGTTCTGAAGAGTGCAATACGACTTCAGAAACAAGATGTCTGCGAGATACCACTCTGACTCGGTAGATGTAACCCCGCTGGGGGAGCCGCTCCACTTCGCCTTCAGCCAGCGAACCGCGCCCAATCGTTTCTACAAGGGTGCCATGACGGAGCGGTTATCGTCTTGGTCCCCGACAGATCTGAAAGCGCGTGGAATTCCCAGCAATGAGTTGATCAACCTGTACAAGCGCTGGGGTGAGAGTGGCTATGGCATGCTCTCCACCGGAAATATCATGATCGCATACGATCACCTAGAAGCCCCGGGAAACCCCATTATTGATCTGGAGAACCCCTTCCATGGAGAACGTTTTGAGGCGTTCTCTCGCATGGCGTCGGAGTCGAAGAAACATGGCAGCTTGATCGTCGCACAGGTCAGTCATCCCGGTCGCCAGGTGGAAGAGCGGGTACAGGCCGATCCCGTCTCGGCGAGTGATGTGCAGCTGCAGACGGAGGCGCTCAAGATGAAGTTTGCGAAGCCACATGCGGCCTCGCAGGACGAGATCCAGGATATCATTAAAAGATGGACTCATGCCGCAGTCTATCTCCACAAGGCGGGATTTGATGGTATCCAGCTGCATGGCGCGCACGGGTATCTGCTGGCCCAGTTCCTGTCGCAGACCACGAACAAGAGGACCGATGAGTATGGTGGAAGTTTGGAGAACCGGGCACGTCTGATTGTGGAGGTTGCCCGGTCTATTCGACAGGAGCTGCCGTCATCGTCAGGGTTTATTCTGGGTATTAAGATCAACTCGGTCGAGTTCCAGGCCGACGGATTCACCCCGGCCGAAGCCCAGCAACTGTGTCAGATTCTGGAACAAAATGAGTTCGATTTTGTAGAACTCTCTGGTGGAACGTATGAGGCACCTGCGTTCTCGCGCAGCCGGGATTCCACCAAGAACCGGGAGGCGTTCTTTCTGGAGTTTGCATCCATGATTACCCCTGTGCTGAGCAAAACCAAGAGCTACGTTACCGGCGGTCTCCGGACGGCTTCGGGAATGGTGACTGCACTGGAGACGGTGGATGGTGTCGGTTTGGCTCGACCTGCTTGTCAAGAATTTAGCCTTCCCCGCGATATCCTTGAAGGCCGAGTGGCCGGTGTGATTGAGCAGAAGGTCGATCAACAGAACTTTGGCCTGACGAGCGCCGCCGCGGGTACACAAATGAAGCAAGTGGGCAAGGACGAGCAGCCAATTGATCTAAGTGACGAAAGCAACCTGGCGCTCTTCATGAAGCATCTGGGGGAATGGGCTCAGCAGGTTCAGGAAGACGCACCCAAGATGAATATGTATGGGTTCATGGATCTCCCCACGGGAGAGGCTTTCCGGGGATAAACATTGCCTCAACCAGTTACATAAGGGCTGAAGCCGTCATTTGGGCTTTCCAAACATCAACTTTGTGAGCTGACCGGTCCGCGATGGATATAGAGCAATCACTGTGACCGAGATAAATAAATATTTGCATATAGAAACTTGAGTCGTGCATACTCACATTTCGCTACATCATCCTCAGGCCCGTTGATCTCTAGCTCACGGATCTGCTTCTTAAAGTCTCGTATGTCGAAGTTCGGTAGATTTCGCATTATTTTCACGTAAAGCCAGACACGCTGTGCAGGAAGCGTGATGTATAGCTGCTGCAGCTGAAACTTAACAACCAGCCTGTCATCTTGCGTTAACCTGGAACGGCTCAGAATCACATCTATCTTGATCCTTAAGAAAGCCATAAGCTGCGACTGCATGAGGTCATGAAAATATGTATCCAAACCCCCATCTGCAAATGATCGTAAGTTATTGGCTGTACTTTGCAACGCTATTTAAAGGGGCACTCACCTGGCTTCATGAGCTTGTATATTTCTGGTGCATCTGACTTGCCAGACAACCCAACTAATTGCAACCCAACCATATCCGCAACCCACTGGGACAAATGGGTCTGAGGCTTTGGGAGTGCGACGGCCTTGTACCTAAGGCAGACCTTCCCAACTAATTGCCCTGCAATGTTTTCTAACTTCTGTAGGAATACCAGGTGATGGTCACTGGTCTCCTCGGTCACTAATTTGAAACCCTGCCTGCTGGTTTCGAGGTATGATTTGAGGGTTCTCCCGAGAGCTGATCTGGATTTATAGACTATAGTGTCCCCTTTAGTTGCCTGCTCCAAGAAGATACTATTGATTAGATTGACATAGTAGGAAGATATACGGAAACAGGTAAAGTAGAACCTGTCTTCGGACCGAGGGCCCCGGTTCGGCTTCAGAACGAGCTTTCCATTGATAGTAGTCGAGTACGAGTTCCCACACTTCTTGATAGGCAGGTATTGGAGCAGCGAGATAGCTCTATCAGGGAATAGATGTTGTTGTCGCACCGTTTCCCGCAGTGTTTCCCACATGTCCTGAAGATCCTCTGCGCCTTCCTTAGAGGGGTCGACCAGCAGTGAGCTTCTCAAGACAATGATAAGTTTTGCAGAAATCGGAGCAAAATTATGGTATTCCGTGTACACTCCTTCGATTATTCTTCCAGTGGCGGGGTCAATTTGAACATCCGAAGGGCCCTCATGGACTCCATACGCATTATGGGTCAATATGAACTCATCTTCCTCTGATAAAGGCTGGCAGAATGCCATAAACTTGAACTGCATGTGATGAATGAACATCTTCGCATCATCCGGGAAGACCTGTTTCTGAACCTTGTTGATCCACAGCATGTCGGGATCCATTTCGAGATCCAAGAATGCCTTGAGATTGGCAAACCAGATATCACGAGGCGATTTGAATCTCTTTTCCCGCAGGTAGCTTTCCATGCGGTGTTTGTCGTTAGAATCGTAGGTGGTGATGCTGTCATGGTTGTATCGCGCATAGAAAGTGGAGTTCCGGTATTTCATGAGAAACAGGAACTTTCTTATAGTATCCCTTTCGCGACGAGTCAATTCAAGTGTCTGACCGGCTCTGAATGTATCTGTCGCTCGTTTGATAATTCTACCTGCATGACCTTCCAACTTTCCGAGATTATCCTCAATATGCCTGGGGTTCGGGTAACCTTGATCGCGGTACATGTCCACGAGTCCAAACTCGCGTGATACCGATACTTGGACCAGGGCATTCTTCTTCAATTCTATCGCGTTGACGAACGGGTCCTTGAGCAACTGCCCCTGTGGTCTTTGGCTGCGTGGCTTTCTTCCTCTCTGACGACGCGAAGGTAAGGGTTGCTCGAGAGCTGCGAACTGGCGCAGGAGAAATCGCGGGATAAAGTGATGATACTCGGCTTTGTACTCAGTTGTTTGTGCCATATTGAGTTTGATGGTTTGCAGAGAGAGAAAGAGAGATTGTGAGTGTGGTGTTGCTGCGATGTAGTATATTTATGGACCGCAAGCGCCGAGGGGTGGGAGAAGCCTAGTGCCCCGCGCTACAGCCTTGCGCAGTCTATGTTCGACTCATTGGGCTTTGAGTGATTCGCCAATAAGTCTAGCTGCAGCTAGGCGTTGTGGGAATGTAGTCGCTGACGTGGCCAGTACTTGTGTCTTGTAGCCCTCGTTCGCCGTAATCGTTCGCCGGGATATAGCACCACGCCGGATAGCCAACTAGATACTGAGCGACAAATTTGTTAATTAATGGAATTGTGAGGAGGCCTTAACTTGCTATGTACATAAGATGGGGGATTGAAGGGTCGCTGAAGGGTTTGGCGAGGGATTACCGTTTTACATCTGATACATCGAATTCCACAGAGGAGCCTGCCTATCCTTGGGAAATATAGACGTTGTCTAGAAACTGCACTGCATCACTATAGGCCTGGTCTCTCAATTTGGTATCGATGAACATTGAAGGCACTGTTTACCCCATAGTTAGTGTGTATAACAATATACAGATAGACAGCCGCGTACCCTCAATCCACCCATGTATCTGATCGTCGAAGAACATGCCATCAATGTGATAAGGACGTCGAGCAGCTGATTCAAGTTCTAACGCTAGCGATACTCGGCCTTCCCTATCGGTCGGATGATGTTGAGATGCTTCTTGTGGGTATTTGATCTCGCGATTAAGGGCCACAGCTTCGTCTTTCAGTCTATTCACAAACACTGTTTGCTCATGATGAAGAATATCGACCTTCGCACAAAGAAACAGCATATTCCGTGGCAGTGACTCAATATCTGCGAGAATGGGATGCAGTATTGGGCTATCCAGATACTTTTCTCGCTCTGTTCCGGCATATGCGTCCATTAAGGGCAAAACAAAAGCTAGAGGGTCAGTATCAGGGTATTTGGCTGGCTTCGGCTTTTCCCACGGCGACAGCCGCAGATCAACCTGTGGATAAGTCAAGCTAAATACCAATCAAACATCTAACACAGCAGTCACGGAGGTATGACTTACGGGTGGGTAAAACATCACCGCTGCTTTCACGTTGAATTCCGACCGGGCCAACCATTGCGCAACGCCCAACGCCAGATTCCCTCCACTTGAAAATCCGCTCACACTCAACAATCTCGGATCGGCATCCCAAAGCCTCCCCGCGTTTTCGATCAACCATTCGGCTACATCTTGGACATCCCTGTGCGCGACGGGGAAAGTATATCGTGGGGAGTATCGGTGAGATGTTGATATCACTACCGCCCCGGTCTCTGCCGCGACACGATCACAGAACGGCGTGTTGCCTTCGGGGAGACCTCCAAGGAACCCGCCGCCGTGAATGTTGAGGTGGAGAGCTCGCGGTTTATTATTTGGCGCTTTCTCGAGGGGGTGGTATACAATAGCACGAACGGAGTGACCCGGAGCACGCCTCAAGGGAATCCAGATCGTGGTTTTGGGATGTTTCGAACGTATGCCACGCCAATATTGAATTGCATTGGTAAGGAAGACTACTGGCTGTAATGCGACAAGGCGCCAGCGAATACTCCAGGGTAGGCCTGGACATAGAATGGCATCGTACAGGGGCCCAAACCAGCGGTAAAGGAAGGACATCATAGCGTGGTTCTTGTCTCAGTGTGTATGTTTGCGCACCACATAGTTATAGTCCATGGGCCCTCTGGAAACTTAGTCGACTTCGTATTCGGCCGTCTAACCGTCCAGACACATGAAAGTCATGAGTCACTCATTGTTCATCATTGCTCTCGCGTGACTTGACCTGGGTTCATGGCGATCGAAGCGTATTCTCCTTTGGGTTGCTTCTCTGCAAAACAAGAATTATTCAAATCGCAACAGTGTGTACAGTCTCGGGATGCAATGTTTCGGGTAGTATGCTGAGCCAAGCTGTGTCTATAGCCTATCATTATGGCCGACCAGAGATTAGAGAGGTAAGGACAAGCGAAGAAACGCAGGATTGTAGAAGGACGGTTGCGGCACCCTGCAGGCTGGTTGGATCTTGGGAGGAGGCCATCTTGATTTTTTAGTTATGCAAAGCCGTATCGTTCCCTGTCCTGTATCCGCTGTAGAATTGCCGGCAAGGTGATCATCATTTGAGCCTTATCGGACATACCGACCGATATCATTGAATGATCGTACAGCGCAGAATCATGGTGCTGCTGACAAGAGCAACCCTAGCACGTGATGTGATATTTAAATCCTTTGCAAACAGGTGAGGGTTCGCGATTTCCCTCTGAGGATCATCCCCGGGTGTTAGTGACATTCACGGATACTTTCCTCGGAGGAACAAGAAAGAAAAGGGGAACTGAAACTACGGTGTGAGGCTGCATCGCCAAGAGCTTGTCACTGGTTGACTGCCGAAACAGCGGGAACTGGTTCAACAGACCAAAGAGAACTGCTGGGTTCAGGGCATGAAATTGTAGGGCAACATATACAGCAAATTAAATCGACATATCCACTGTTGGTGGAATTGGGGGAGTGAAGTCTGTCTCCGTTGCCAAGTTTCGATATTCTTCCCCACCATTGAACTACGGCTTCCATTTGTCACCGAAGAAGCAGCATCATCCACTCTTCCAGGCTACATTCTTGGCATTCGCCCACGCCCCAACTCATATTCTACGATCGTCGATGGTTTGGGCCTGCACGCGCGGAGCCATGGAATAGGCATTGATCAACTGATCTCTGTTCGTTAAGAACGCTGCTCGTTTGCATGACCTCTTCCCCAGAGGTCCACAAGTGAGACAACACGACAAAAGAGCCAGTTGCCTCATAGATAACGGAGCGAACGGCCGTCTCCAGAATCCTCGAATTCGGAGTACATCTCATATTATTACTAGTCGGTCTTTGGGGCGAGAAACAAAAATAGTTAATCGTTCGGCCCCTAATCCAAGTCTCTTGTTCAGGTTGACGGCAGAGATGGAATCGCACGATGCCAAGACTTCACAGCCTTTGTACCATGGATATCGCAGGCAGCACTCGGTGCCACTCACGCCCGAGAGCCTCAGAGGGTGGATCAATGATGGCGTTTGCTCCAGTTAAACCGTGGGGGCCACAGACCCTTGACTTCCAGACCAAAGTGTCTCTCAGTCTCTGAGACCCTGCGTTATTCTTCTTCAGGAAGGTGAGCTGTCGGTTTGCCCTGGAACGCTTTACTTCCTTAGGAAAAATGCCTTGTCGATAGAAATTTCGGAACGAGATGTCAGCGATCACCATAGCCTCATACGAGGGTCATAGGAGTAAGCCTCGCCGCAAAGGAACCAGAGAACCCTCAAGTACACCCAACGGTACCATGTAGCCACGAAAGTGGTCACCAAAAGGAATCATAATGTAAACAAAAAAAAAAAAAGGTAAATATTCAAATTATGCTTATGGGCGGTTACACTTTTCTGTTTGTGTAGGGTTCAGCTTGCTTACGAGTAGTGCTTATTTGACCGGGGAATTTTCCCTAGCGCCCACTTCGTATTCCGAATCTGCAGACAGCCGAAGAAATGGAGATTTGACAAGCGGTTTAGGGTTCTCCAGTTCCCAAAAAAGAAAACCGTTCGGAGAGCCCTTGTCAAAGACCCAAAGTTAACATCCGACCCACCTCATCAGCCTTGTCCTCGGACAGTTGATTAGGCTGCGCCTCTCTTTTCCTTGCTGCCAAGAACGTAGTGTACTTCTTCTCGTGTTATAAATGGTGCGGTCTGTCGCGCTATCAGTCTTTGTTCGAGAAGCCTTTTGGTTGTTAACTCCCATAAATCCCCTCTTCCGCGGCTTCCGAGAAACCAGACTTGGGACGCGGTTTGCAACATGCGTCTTTTCGGCATCACTCTGGTTTCAGCCGCTCTGGCTGCTGCCCAGAGCATTACATCCACCGACACCTCGGAACCGTGTGCTCGCGCTAGCCGGCTCGCCCAGGAGAGCCAAGTCATTCCAGCCCAGACCGCCTATGAGTGCTTGAAATCTGTGCCAGTGGCTGTGGAGCAAGATAAGACACTCATTGACCAGCTCAAAGGCCTGTGGGAGTGGCATTCGGAGACTGGCTATCTGAAGAACACCCCCGACACATGGGAACTGGGCTCCGTCGACCTGCTTGGGGAATTGGACAAGATCAAAGAGAACCTTTCCTCCTACGATAGTGAATATGACGTGCAGCTCGCGATCAACAAGTTGACCCTGAAGACAGGGAACTTTCATTTTAACTACGTGCCCGATATCCTCCAGGTCTTCTATTTTGGACGTGTGATCCCCGTGACCACCGTCTCAGAGGACGGAACCAGTGTGCCAGAGACCTATGCAGTCGCAGATCTTGTGCAGAAAGACTCCGACGCTCGCATCAAAATCTCGCCAATCACGAAGATCAATGGTGAAGATGCGCAAACATATCTGAACAAGATCGCCGCCCAGGAGCAGTACATCGACCCTGATGCCCGGTTCAACAGCCTCATGTGGAGGGGCAGAGCCTCTGCCTCGGCGGGCAGCTTCGTTAACACTGGTCTGGGCTTTTATGAAGGAGCAACGACGAATATCACTTTTAAAAACGAGACCACTCGTGTCGTCAGGAACTTCGCTGAGGTACGGCAAAACCTGACGGCAGTAACCAGCGGAAAGTCGTTCTTTGAAGAACTCTGCACCGGTAGCTTTGCTAGCGTCGAGGCAGTGGCCGCCGCGTCCATGAAGACAACGCCTTACAAGGGAACTCCTCACCACTGGAAAAGGCAAAGCATCCCTAGCGACGGCTACCCTAGACCAATTGTTGAACACAGCAGCGGTATGGTCGCTGGCTATTTTATGAACGGATCCGATTTCGAAGACGTCGCTGTCCTCAAGATTATTACCTTTGACACTTCTTCGGCTGATAGGAGTGATGCTGCTACCGAGTTCCAGGACGTTGTGAAGCAGTTTTTGGGCAACTGCACAGATGCGGGCAAGAAGAAGCTCGTTATTGACCTCCGAGAGAACGGTGGAGGTGACACCGATCTTCTCCTCGATACCTTCATGCAGCTTTTCCCCGGTGAAGTGCCGTTTAGTGCTCAGAGATATCGTGCGCAGGAGCAATACAAGCTCATTGGCGAAGCTGTCAATTCGGTTTATGAGGATCAGTCTGTACAGAGGCTGATCACGCAAGCTACTGGCGAAAGTAAGTGGAAAGCTATCCACCGTGAGACAACGTAAAGCTAACTTGTCTAGGATTTGCCAATATTGGCCTCGTCAGGTATTGGGCCTACTGGAACTTTGTCGATGTTAACGGTGATAACTTCAAATCATGGGATGCGTTCTACGGTCCTCACAAGTATAATGGTGATGAGTTCACAACTATCATGAGGTACAACGTAAGTACAACCTATGAATCCCTAGAACCACGAACACACCCAGCTCACAGGATACAGATGTCCAATAGCAACCCAATCAGCATCCGGGATCAGTCAGGCTTCAAATTCCTGAACCCTCCCGCCGGAGACCCTCCGTTTGCGGCAGAAAACATCGTCATGTTCTCTGACGGTCTTTGTGGATCTTCCTGCGCTTCATTCCATGAGGAGCTGAAGAACATTGCAGGCGTCAAAGCCATTGCCGTTGGTGGTCGTCCCCAGGAGGGTGCCATGCAGACAATTGGAGGCTCCAAGGGTGGAGAGGTTGTCCCACTGAACACCATCCCCATGTCCCTCCAGACAATGATGAACCTCACCGCACCCTTGGGCATTAAAGCCCTGGACGACGACTCTCTTACAAAGCTTGCCAACCCCGACGTGCTTCTCACTCGTGCGGGTGACTACAGCAGTCGCATTCAGGTTCAAGACCAGATTCGCAAGGGTGATGAGTCAGGAACCCCCCTTCAGTACATCTATGAAGACGCCGACTGCCGTATCTTCTACACCACCAAGATGCTGCTCGAACCTGAAACGGCATGGGAGGCTGCATGGTCAGCATACACAGATGACAGCAAGTGTGTCAAGGACTCCACCAAGAAATCGTCCAGCATTGGCGGTGGGTATAAGCCGTTTGGTCCTGGTGATCTCAACGGCAAGCAGTCAGAGAACAGCACCTCCTCGTCGGACAAGGATGAGGAGAATGCTGCCCCTGCATGGAAACCTAGTCTTGCTCTCTGTGCCGCGGCTACAGTCATCAGCCTCCTTCTTTAAAATTTCTTTTATAACGGTTGTTTAAATTTCTTTTGGGGCCAAATGTGTCCCACGTTTGTTTTCTATGCATGATGATACCTATATATTACGATGGCTACTCTGTGAACTTACCTTTAGACAATTTCAGAATTGTACATATACAATACCTGGCTATACAATTTCTTTGGATATTGAGTAGTAACTTGTGTTTTTATTGAAATTATCTATCACAACTGTCTACCGAGTACCTGCAGTATCAGACTATAGTTTCGTCCCCTTTGCCTAGCTACCAAGTATGATTAATATATCTCGGAAACTTTGACTTTTCCAATATCAACTTATCCTTTCCGAACAGTCTCCGAATCATGGATTATTCATTCATATCCTATTATTCTTATGTAATTTCGCTAATGAAATTCAATCAATATCGGTAGTCACGGCGATTGACCTGGTAGCCTCCAATCTTGGACTCCAAGACAACTACGCAGTCCTTCCCCAGCGGCATATGTAGATAATCATAACCCGGTCTATGAACTAGAGCTCTATTCACACAAAAGTTGTCTAGCTATCTTCACATACTCTACTTGCTCGCCTCCACACCTTCAGCGGCATAGGCCCTGAGTTAGAATTTGTCGTTTCATGCCTGACCGGCTCCCAGGACGGCGACGGCAAAGCGAATTCGAAGCGATGCACAAGTGAAGCTAGAAGAACTGTCTGTTCCAGATAACTAATATTACGACCGATGCACCCTCTAGCGCCCGCACTGAAAGCAACAAAATACGGCTGAAGATCACGACCCTTCTCACCGAGCCAGCGCTCAGGCTTATATGTGTCTGGGTCTGGAAATATGTCCTCGTTGCGATGAACCACATATGCCGATATACCGACGGAAGTATCGCCTGCCACGAATTCACCTCTGATAGTGGTGCCTTCCTGAGGTGTCCGGCGCGGAACATGGAATGACACCGGTGGGTACAGGCGCATGTTTTCATCGAGACAGGCTCGTAGGTAGGGCAGATGCTTCACTTTGTCATAAGGCGCAATAATCTCATCATATTCCAGGACCCCGTCGACCTCCTCCCGGAGCTTTTCCAAACAATGGGGATTCTTCAGCAAAAGGAGCATCACGTTGTTCAAGGAAATCCCTGTGGTATCAGAGCCCGCGTTCATCATGATGCTCACTTCAGCTACGATTTCTCCCCATTCGAGATTATTCGGAGCACCGGACCTGTCTTCCATGAGCGCAGAGAAGAAGTCGTCGAGCTTTTCTCCTTTCTCATATCGCTTCCACCGTGTTGTCGCTCGGTTGTTTACGATCCCGTCCCAATCCTGAGCTAGTTTCCATTTCTCGCGATACGTTGAGGACACCAGTTTGCTGACTCGGATCATCGCCTCGTACCAATCATAGGCCCACACCAGAGTCGAAGTAGCCGACGCATTGGCGTACAGACAATCCCGAAAGTGGACCTTTTTCACAGTCCCGTCCTTTGCTTCCGACGCGATAATATCATTGCCTTGATCTAGGAATCGGAGATCCTCGCTAAGTCCGATATTAGCAATGGCAGCAATGGTGTACAGATTTGCCCACATGCGATAATCGATTGTAAGGTCCTTGGGGTCTGGATTTTGGCCTTTGGGCAATGGACTGGTACATCTCTCATCAAACGCTGTGATGATGCGTTGCGTCATATCGGCCACCTTGTATTCCCAATTTTCAAGGTTCTTAATGGCGTAGGCGCTGGAGAGAACTTTGCGCTTTCGAGCATGCTCTTCTTTGTCCACTACATCTGCGAGGTGGTAGTGTGAGCCGGATAGTGCTGAGTAGAAGACATCTTTGGTACACTTCGTCCCGTGTCCGTAAATGTCTTTGATGGCAACAGGGTCTGCGTAGGAGAGTTTATTGGGCCCAATTCGGATGACCGGGTGCTTTTTGTGTGCTTCGAAGAGGACCTGCGAGCGGATGCCTTTGTGGGAGTAGTAAACGAGTGGGAGGTCAGAGATGCCGGACACAACGGTCAAATTAGGGTACTTTCGGAGACCCTTAGGGTCACGGAAATAGTTGATAATCGGTATGACAAAATAGTAGATGAGGAGGAAATGGAGAGTGACGATGAGAAGTAAACTGTACATCTCGATGGGATTATGACAACTGTCTGGCTCGTGGATGTTGGAGACTGGTTATCGGGATATGCGCTTCCTCTCTCATCTCTCTATTCTTCGGCATTTTGGGCATCTTTATACCATATCCTGTGCAATCCATTGCTATGGACGAGAGTTACCTACGCATCAGTTTCCAGTAAGGTACTACGGAGGAGAGTAATATTCGCCGGACTTGACACTGAATATGGAAACCTTCGGCGAAGATGTATCTATATGCGGTAATGATCTTCACACCACGTATTCAGCTGCAGCCCTCGCTGGCATCGTAACTCCCTCATTATCCTGGAGTAGATCCATGGTGCGGGGGCCCCTGCCCGTTCTGCCGGGATTTATATTCCATGAGTAGTATGAACCGCTATGGACTGGAGCGACTCAGAAGTTGAGAAGCGGGGCACCTGACCATCCGCGGATTATCTATGGCATACTACCTACAAGTGATATCCAGTCGCAGATTGCCTTCCAAATGCCGACAAGTTCGTGTACCAGCTGTCTCGAGCTCTCTCTTCAACCTGCATCATATGCTGATCCATTTTCATCGGTTATGAAAGGACTTAATACTGGTATGACGTGGCTATATTGACCCAAAACGGCCATCGTCATCCATTTTGCGAAAACGCCCATTGCAAAACGATCAGTCTCCATACTCAATAGTAGTTTAGATCTAGAGTAAGCCTTTCATACCCTCTGCGCCTTGGCCTTTGCCGGGTGTTGCCATACCGCTTCCTCGGACATGTAAATCCATGTTCAGTTACGCATCATTAAACTGGCTATTGCCATCATGACTCTAGCAAATGGTCCAAGGTTTCGCCTAGAGAGTTTGTCTGGCATGGACTGAGTATTTAGGTGTATCCATTAAAGGTGAATCTCTTCTTAGAAGTAAGCTACATAAATAACGACCTAAATGTTACCCCCCCAGTGGACATGGGCAACCCTAGCCATGAGAAAGAATCAATACCGACATGTAGGAAAAGGAAAGGATGGCATGACGAGTAGGCCATGACAGCCCGGTTGAATGACCAAATTCAGGAATCGCGAGAATACTGTGAGACCGTCAGTGAAGATGAGAAGAATGCGCTTTTTGCGATGTTGAGGTCTTTGCTATCGTTTAGACCGGAGAATAGGCCAACTGCTGCAGAGACTTTGCAGTCAAAATGGACCCAAGTCGGGCTCTTCTATTGCTGAGGGGCGTGTAGAAGTGTAATGAATTCTAGTAGCCAAGTCATCGTGCCATGGCATGAGATATGATCACTAGCGACGCATTGAAGCCGAGGCTTGTTTGGGAGCTACACGCTCCGCCTCTCTTCCCCGCATCTCAAAAAGAGGGTAAGATATTTTAGTTCAATCAATTACCTAGTAGGGTTTATCTGGATTGTTGCACGTCTCACATCATCTGACTCAGAACCAAACACACCACCCCCAATCACAACTATCACGCATGACTGCTAAGACATGGATAACAGTCAGACCGTGTCGTGCAAATCGGGCCGTATTACGTTAAAAAAAGTAAATGGAGGGGGATATTTAAGGTGCGAGTTCCAAACTGGTCATGATCAACCATACGAGCACAAAATAACCCTAACGTAGTCAGCATGGCCCGCAACTAGGATCTAAGCCCCAGGGATATGCCTTGTCATCCAGATTATTTAACGGGTAGCCCTATATCTTGGGACGGTATCCCATCTCGCTTCTTGCTCATGTACTTGGAAGAAAGTCGCTGAATGGCATCAGACAGAGCCCACCATGGCGAGCCAGTACACAGAGTGGTTCACCCGCATCTCCCACGATCGAGATCTCTTTTTCCTTGACCCCACCGAACTCACGACGTTACAGTCCTATCTTGAAGGCACTCTTCCTCTACAAGACACAGTCTCTAGCTTAACAGCCCCCACCACGCCTCAATGGCATTCCACCCAGAGCAGCAGGGTTTGGGCGATGCTCCTCTCCATAGCGGAAGACTATGGAGAAGCCCATGATTGCATTATCGCTCTGATCGAAGCATTGTTTTCTCGCCCGAAGCCATCACAGCCCAACGAGCAGGACTGGCCGGGCGAGAAAGAATTTGGCTTTCCGCGGTGTTGGCGCGACATTCATGATTGTAAGTATCATAGCCACGACCTTTGGCAGTAGTTATGACGATTATTGATCATCAATTCCACAGCGCTATGGTCTCGGGAATCTGAAATTGAGTCCTTGTCTGATTCCATCACCACGAAATGGATAAACTACCAAGCTTTTACCGCGCGTCTTCTAGCTTCCTCTCTTTTAAGCGCCCATGACAGAGCTTTACTGCATGCAGTCGATGCTCTAGAAAGCACATTGGAGCCAAAGGAGCTTGCAGTGAGACAGGATATTGATAATCGCTGCTGCTGCACAGTACTGGATCTATGAGGGTAGGGTTCTTTTCACCATCCGCTTTGATGTACTGGATTTATCGAAAGGGGCGAGTCTTGGCTGTGTGAACAGGCTTTTACGTTGCTAACGTGGGGACGTTGGAGGAAATGCTTTGGGAAATCCAAGCCATGGACGAATTGCACGGCAGCACCAGGGAAGCAGCAAATGGCGCAGTGAAGAATGAAGAAGACTCTTGAGCCCACGAAAATGATAGTCTGAGCATGTACATAGTGCACGTGTGCTTTTGTGTTACTTCTGTTTAATTCGCTGGCGATCTTCTATGTCTACAGAGTTTTTCTTTTATATTATTCCAAACATTCGTGATTTGATGCATCCTAAGGCACATAGTCATTATGAACCCTACAGTTCTGCTGGGCTGTATGTCATTTACGTAGTCAGCCAATGTAGCGAAAGTATGTAGCAAGCATTACGCCTATTTGAACGTTGCGACCTTGCTGTCTTGGGGACTTCAGAGCTTTGATATGCTTTGTTGAAACCCCACTGTACTAAAGGGTTGGCATCACTGACATGACCATTTGCATTGACTTTCCAGTCGCCTCTGCATGAGTATTCAAACTTCAACTTTTCTAGGCTCTGCCATTATATCTCCAAGAATGTTGACACCACACGTCCTTACGATATTCGCATTGCACAAAACTGGAATGCAACGGCACGGCCCGTTGGTTCAGCAAATAGTGGAGATAAGAGGGCTTATCTGTATCATAAATATAAGGGTCTTTGTCTTTGTCTTTGTATGTTTTGTACGAAGACGACGGTTCACCCTATGAGCCGCGGTAAGGATTTTCTTGGCTTGGTCGGAACCGCTGGTGCGCTGGGGGCCAGCAAATACCGCAAGATCAGCATGTCTTGGTGAAGCTAAGTCGAGGTTACGAGTAGGTCCCAGTAGATTTGGCCCCTGGGACAAAGGCTCGTGGCTTAAACTTGGTAATAATGCTGGCCCTACTTAACAAGGGGCTTGAAAGGATCCGTGAGTCATAAATCGTTCGATGGGACTGCGCGATGGCGCCAACTCTGGAGTATAAACAAGCCAATTAAAACATTATTCAGAACTCCACTTCCTCATCATACAGATCCCGTTCGTGTAAGGTGACATGGAAGAAGCATTTTAACGTTCCATCCATCGTAAATGCTACGTTAGAACATGTGTTAGCTCATCCTACTGTTTTGGCCAAAAGACAACCACCTCTCCAACTGCACTCCCTTCCTGCTTTCGCCTTTCTTCCTTCTACAAGAAAGAGATCTACAAATATTTAGTAAGAGAGACTTCGAAATGGAAACATATTCAGACCAACGGTTATCGGTTGTAGTGGTTGGCATGGGCCAGATGGGTCACAGCCATGCCCTGGCGTACCACCGTAACCCAGGTTTTCAGATTATTGGTCTCTATAATCGCAGTCCGGTCAAGAACCTACCGGATGAGCTCAAGGACTATCCTTTCTTATCGAGCTTCGAGGAGGCTCTCGCACTCAAGCCAAATGTTGTATCGATCAACACGCACACGGCAACGCATGCTGATTACGCCGTGGCAGCGATGGAGTCCGGGGCCCATGTTTTTGTAGAAAAGCCTCTAGCAACAACAGTCGAAGATGCAGAACGTGTGGTGACCACAGCCCAGCAAACCAATCGCAAACTCGTCATCGGCTATATCCTCCGGCATCACCCCAGCTGGATCGAATTCATCCACCGCGCTCGACAGCTCGGCCCACCGTTTGTCATGCGGATGAACCTGAATCAGCGCTCTAGTGGCGACGCGTGGGCTATTCATCAACGTCTCCTCGAGGATGTGAAAAATCCGATCGTGGACTGTGGCGTGCATTATGTGGATGTGATGTTGCAAATTGCTGGCAGCAAGCCGGTCCAAGTACGTGGCATGGGCCTTCGTCTCTGTGATGATCTTCCGTCAGCTGAACAGGTCAACTATGGCCATCTTCAAGTGCTGTTTGCCAATGGATCGGTTGGGTGGTATGAAGCCGGATGGGGTCCAATGATATCGGAGACAGCGTACTTCGTGAAAGATGTGATGGGCCCACGGGGCTCAGTCTCAATTGTGATGGATGAGGCAGATAGCGGCGATAGTGCTGGGGCCTCGGCCAATATAAACAGCCACACAAAGACATCGACTCTACGCATGAGTACTGTGGTTGACGGGCGCGCTCGAGATCAGATCCTATCGATGGAGGGTGAGCCGGACCATTACGAGCTATGTTCCCGGGAGCAACAGTTTCTGCTGGATGCCATTCGTGAGGATCGAGATCTCACACAACATATGAATGATGCCATTCAATCCTTATCAATTGTGCTCGCAGCAGATCGCTCAATGCGGGAAAACTGTGCAATTGACCTTCTCTAGGAAATACTTTTGACATCTTTTATCAATATTGCAGTAGATGAATTAAAAAAAAAAAGCCACCAAATCTCTCTCATTACGTGGTTAGTCTCGTTATTATATTAGGTGCCTGTACCTACTATGGGTGATACTCAACTATATGCAGATTATACGCTGGACTTCAACGTTATTCTATTACAACCGAGCATTGTCCAAATCTATTAATCTAATCTAGTTTAGTCTATAACTCTCCAGTCTTTTGATCTTCCAGGGGATAGCCCCTTGATGTATGTACTTTTACGGATTGATAAGCATTAGCGTCAGACCTTCTCGTCGTCCGTCCCCTTCTTCCCATCCCCACCGTGACCCTGTCTGCCAATTTTTAGAAAGGCACACAGTGGAATGCCGAGGGAGGCAATGCCTGCGCAGTACAGGAATGTCGCACTATACGGCTCGATCGGGTCATTTTTGAAATACCCGGTTGTGGTCGTCCCTCTCGCTTGAACCGCATCAAAGATGGCGGTACTGATTCCCATACCGATGGCCACACATAATTTTGTCACCGTCTGGAAAATTCCACCAGCGATACTCTGCTGTTCCGGCGGCAGAGAACTCATGACGTACATGTTCGCCACGCAGAACTCGAAGTCGGCGCCGATCACCGCGAGAAGCAAGCCCGGGAAGATGAAAGCCCAGTAACTACTGTCCGAGTGTTGAAGGCCCATAAGGAGGAAGGATCCGACGTACGAAGTGGCACCAAGAAGCATTAGGAGGGCATTGGACACGCGGTGCATGATAAGTCCTGCGACGATGTTGACGATGATGCCCATAATAGCCATAGGAAGCATGTGCACGGCGACGGGGAGGGCAGAGTACTGTTTGACCTCTTGCATGAAGAGAGAGATCCAGAATGTCATAATTGGGAAGGCGAGAAAGCCGAGCAGAAGAACAGCGATGACCAGCGAGAAGTCACGATCGCGCCAGATGGACATCGGGATGAGGGGGTATGAAAACCAGCACTCCCAGAAGACGAAGGCAACAATGAGGAGGACACCTAGGATGAGGCAGACGAGGACGTACGGAGTCTTCCAACCTTGCGGAGCGTCCGAGCCAAGACTGTTGAAGAGAGGGTGTTAGCCAGAGTCTTGTTCGACTGGGATAGATGGCTAACCTCAACGCGGCGGAAAACAAGCCGATACCAGCGACGGTCAAGATAGTACCGACGACGTCGAACCTCTTGACGGCCTCGACGGATAATTTTTCCGTGGGCGTATTATCTGCTGGGACGGTGACCAGGGCAATCGCTACAATGACGACGTAAATGATGGCCAGTAAGAAGAAGCTGGCTCTCCAGTTGAACAGCTGCGTAGCAATCCCGGAAAATATACTACCGAAGACGAATCCCAAGGGGTTTCCGGCGCTGAAACAGGCAAAGACCCTATTCTTCCTTTTCGATGGCTTCTCATAGATGTTGGCTAGCATACCTTGCGCAGGCGGGACAGAGGCAGCCGACATCAGGCCCATGACACCGTTGAGAATGTCGACTTGCATGGGCGTTTTGGAAAACCCAGCAGCCAGCGCGAAGACGGCAAAAAAAGCCATGCCACCGATGAAAAGCGCTTTCCGGCCAAATAAATCCGCCAAACGGCCGAAAAAAAGGAGAAAGGAGCCGGAAGCCAGTCTGGAGATAGGCCATTAGCACAGAACCGGCATGGACAGTAAACAATAGACGACGCACGAGGATGCACTGGTCAGCCACGTCAGCTCCGCGGTGGTCATGTTCAGGTCCCTCTGAACTTGGGACGTGAGCACCGTGATGGTCCCAGTCAGGAGGGACGACATGGCAATTGCCATGGTCGCAACCGCGACGAACAGGATCTCTTGAATGGTGGATGAAAAGGCTGCCGGTCGGGCTTCATTGTTGCGGGGCGCTGGGACCGTTGTGGATGCGACCTTGTCATCCATTTTCCCATCGCATTCGCTCGCCTCCGCCGGCCCTGTCTTCTCCATTTTGCGTCGTGAGAAAAGAAAGCGCTGGAGGATCGCAGAGATGGCGATAGTTGGTGAGCTCGTGTAGGGTTTTGGTGTCGCGGAATTGATTACGAATAGTGCGGGAGATTTTCCGCTACGCCAGCTTTGCGCGGTCAGGATTTGGCCGGTGGTACCATTAAATAAATCTCAGCCACCAGATATATTCCAATTGTAACGTTGAGATCAGTTCATGGACCTGTCCAGCTCTGAAGCAAGGCTCCCCCTTGCTTGGCACATCTGCAGAACGCGGCCTCGGTGAAGGCCAATATTACAGAAGTGTGCAAAGCTGCCAGTTGAGCCACTGACCATATTCTTGGTGTCGAATAATGTCTCGAGGACGAGCATGGCTCATAGCATTCATTATTACCGTACTCCAAGTGCTTTGAAGATCACAGGAATCCAAGCTAGCTTGAGAAACCGGCATCTCATTTTAAGAATATCCGGGTCAGACAGGCTCCGTATGGTTGCATCAGCACCAGCATACCACGGGTCAGGTTACAAAAATGCAGTTGCAGTCCGTCCAGACTCCAGCGGTGGGGGAGGGAATTTCGAGGATCTGGATATGTGGATCTCAGCTAGTTTAGCTCGTGGCCATCCGCTCGAGTGGTTGGTTGAGATCCAAGTAAAATCCAACTAGGAATGAGCCTGTCTGAGGAGCTAAATTAGCTTTGGCTCTCAACAACATTTTCATTTGTAGTAATAAAAAGAATGAATAATTAAGTTCGCGGCCCGTCTCTTAAAAACGTAAGCGAGACACGAGGTACCTGAAGGAATGCATCTCGCATATTCTCGATCTCATTATGCGCTCCAACATACTCTGTATACATTTGTACTGGATAGTTAAAATGAGCCTCAAACGTTCTGTTAAGATCTTTGAGACCGTATCTCATGGTGGGATGCTTCCAATATATACATTTTTATAGATATATAATTAGTATCTCTTTCTATGCGTATCGAGAGGGGACAAGATACTAAAACTTTGTCAGATCGTATTGGGTTGTATACGCAATCAGCTGGAATTAACATTTCTAGCTGCTTGAAACTTGAGATAAACATATGCCATACTCAAAGGCCGTGTTTGCGCGGGCTGTGGATGAATAAATGTCAATTACATTCTTGACCAAAATCTGTCCCCCCCTTGCGGAGAAATGGGTGGCTCAGATCATTGAAGCTTTTGAGATGTAAACCAGAACTCGATCCTCGTTCGCTTGCCTTCAATAAAGCCACCGTGGCCTACTGAGCTCTTAGACCTGTACTCACTTGGTTCTGTTCCCCCGCCCAACCGCTTGCAATGCCGAAAATGATTGTGATTTGAGCGCATCTTTATATCTCTATACATACAACACCTGTTAAGGGAGGGTGAAAAGAGCAAAGAATCTGTGAGCGACAGGATTCGACTGTGAATAACAAGGTACCTGATATCCGATCATAGGTTGAGTCTGGCCTTGACCGCTCGAACACACTGACAGTACTCGCCTTCAACTGGCAGGACTTCTCCGGAGCATTTAACAATATGCAGAGACATACGGATCCCTGCCTTCAGGGGCTCGCGGTTTTATTGATTAGGATTCTTGTTTGGACGTCACACAAGGAGAGTATAGAGAACAGTCTGGATAGCGATGTCTTCAAGGATTAGATATGAGTAGTGTCTAGTGTATCCGTACCGCAATGCACTGTTGGGAAGAGGAAGACATTACCCTACTTGGAATGGAGAATACTTAGAAGGATTCCCTATGGCCCCCTTACTTTAACAAGGTAGGCTTCTGAACTAAACCTTATATCAGTTTATATCTATCCTTGAACAATATTTATGAGACTAACAGCGATGTGCCTGCCTTGTCCGGAGTTACATCGCGCCACAGCAGGCTTTCGGCTTATTTATATTGCTTAACGAGCTACAAACTACATTAAAACTGTAATAGGTCTCCTCTATTTACAGAGTTGGATATTTCTCTTTGGTACTTGTTCCTAGCGAAGGAATCTGTATTATCGGTAGTGGATCCTATCCTGGTCCTACCGAAACTGACAGGCACGCCGGTAACTGAGATGATGGCTAGAAACAAATAATCCGAGCTGTGTCGGCGAAATACAATGTGAGAAACAAAGATGTAACTCCCCGTGCAGAGGACCGCTCGGGAACATCATCAGTTCATATTCATTCATTGTGATATCGAATATGTGTATTATTAACTAATATTTGTGGACTGGGCATGGAGACTCTACGGTAAGAAGCTCCACGTAACCCGGCCAAACCTAAGGTCCACAGCTTAAGGTTAAAACCTTGTCCTGGTGTAGCCTTTCTCCTGCGCCGTTGCCTGGAAGAGGACAGAGAATCGCTCTCGAGTGGTCATGCTAGCTCGAAGTGCAAGCAGCAGCCCGCATAGTACTGGCACACATATGCCTGGCATAGCCCTTTATAAGATATTTGAAGCTGCTTCTCAGGTATTTTCATAGTTACGGGGTTCGCTCCCAGGCAGCCGTCCATGTTTGTAGGGTCTAGATTGTCCAGCTCCTTAATCATTACCCCTTAAACGGCGCAAACCTCGACATCTTTCTCAACCGCACTCCGTAAATCCGGAAGAGAAAAGGAACGGGAATCAGTACCGCTGCGATACCCCCAAGGATCGACATCGCTGGTCCCACCCCAAGATTATGGAACATCTGCTTAGCGAAAAGTGGGAACGCGGCCGCAAGCACACTTCGCAGAAATGTGTTGGACGCAGTGGCTGAGGCCGCGTATGGCCCGTATGTATCGACCAGGAAATTGATACATTGACCGAAGATGATACAGAATCCACACCCGAACATCACAGCTGCTACGACAGGTAGCACCCATGAATAGGACGGTGCCGCCGTCCAGCCAAACCAGAAGAGACCTCCTGCGAACAGAAACCCTCCAACCGCCATGGGCATCAGACGTGCCTCCGGGACTGGTTTCCCGCCGCCTTCTTCCCATTTTCGGATGTAGTACGGCTGGCCGACAAGAATGATGAACGCGGCGGATAGCAGGACGCCAATAAAGAGGCCGATGAAGGGTAATGTGGCAACAACTGGCTTCCACTGGCGGATATCGGCAAAGACAATGGGGAACACTTCGAGGGTGAGGTAGAGTAGAGCATAGGTGAACGAGGCGTATAGCGCAATCACCGTCACCATTGGTTCCGTCACAAGCATGACAAGCGGGCGGGAGAAATGCTTGGTGACAATACTATACGCATCGATTTTCATATGCTCGTGTGGGTGGTATAGCTCTTGGTTGCCGGTCTCCTTGCGCAGGCGCTTCGCCTTTTTATGGAGAAGGACGGGGCCATACACCTCCGGTAAGCAGAAGAAGGTCACTGTGAAGACAAAAAAGACGATAATAGCTTCAATGTACTCTGTCCAGCGCCAACCCAGGTGTGGATTGTTGACCAGGGCAGCGCCAATGATCGGTCCCATGGTTGGTCCGCCCACAACGCAGATGGCGTAGGATGTGCTGGCAACGGCGCGCGCCTTCATATGAAAGAAGTCCCCCAGGGCAGCCGATACATTACTGACAGGAGCTGAGCCAAAAACGCCTGCAAAGTATCGGGTGACGAGAATGGCAGCGGTATTCTTGCTTGTCGCGGTACCGATACTGAAAATGCCCAGCATGAAAACGGCCGGGAGCATCGACCAGCGGCGTCCCCAGATTTCCGAGATAGGAGCCCAGCATAGTGGCCCGAAAGCGAAACCAAGACTGTATTTCCTTGTCAGTGATGTGACCGATAGGGAACACTGGTCAGGTAGAGGCGATTTACATGTACAGAGACACTGGGAGAATGCTGACTTCAGTGCTAATGCCTAGGTACGATTCCAGCTTGGTCTGCGCAGGGGAGATGATACTCGAGCCTAAACTGGCGCTGAGGGCCAGCATACCGAGCTGGAATGTAATCCAACATTTGTATATCGTCGAGAAGTTATGTGGGTTCTCTGGGTCATTTTCCTCCCAACCGACCAAGTTTGGGTCCGCGCCGCGATGATTTGCAGCCTTTTCTTCGTCTGCACGCCGTGCATGGTCAATTTCAGGCAAGTTGGTCATTCCCATCTCATTTTGCAGCTCGGTTTTGCTTGCATTTTTTTTTTTTTTTTTTCGCTCGTACCTTGAGGGCTATGACTGGTTTTATTGGACGCTATCGGCAAATCGGCATCTCACTTTTGCACCCGAAAAGGATGATGCGTCAACGGCCATCTAAACCGTGTAGGCACTAATCCCCAATGCTGGAGGAAACGAAGCTAGGCGTGAGAAAAGTGGAGCGAGTTGGCAGACTTTTAGTGCCCATCTCTTGCCTGCCCTCGGATTTAGTCAGGGCTCGGACATTCGATTCGATCTTTGCCGAGATGTTGGATTTACCCCACAAGTTGCAACTGTCTCTGTACGCGGGTTGGTCTGCCTGGACCACAAATCTGGACTCAATCTATCCTCGATTAGACTTAGGCGCCGTAGACTGGCCTTGTACTTTTTCCATCCGGCGGGTACCGAGTATAAGCATGGTGAGCTCATGCATGGCATACTGGCCGCATTTCTTGGACAAGCATTCTTCACAGCCAAGGGTGTTAACCACCCTACGATAAAAGTCAGAATACCATGTAGAGCTCTGTATGCCAAATTGTATTAAGAATCTGTTTCTTTCCCGGTATGAAAGAGTTCAGAGGGGTTATCCTTCCTGACCGCCGCGACGCAAGGGTCGGAAGCGCTGTAAGGATATACAGAATTGAAAGGCTTGACCTCCTGTGTGAAAGTCCACATATTTACAGTATTACCTCATTGTCAGCGGAATTAAAAGCCGCATACTTTAGGTACTGCGTAGAAGCCACCATTTAGGCTCGTCCCGCAGGCCCAGCTATCAGTTGGGAAGCTATGAGGACTCTACACACAATCGCACCTTGGATGATGCAAAGCCCATTGAATCAATCATTTCGCTACTTACGCAGTAGACCCTTATGTGGAAATTCCAAGAGGGACGTATAATTAGCCATTCCTCCCATGGTCCATGCAGAGCTGGGCGAATTCACACCTGCACAGCGGATCCATGATGTAATAGAAGCCGTGGGTCTGATCATCTTCGCCACTCTGCACTGCTCACTCCAGTAACGCAGCTGCTAGTCTGCGCCTGCTGGGTGGGCGGTATTGGAGCCAAGGGGTCGCATCAACTCCACTGATCATCATCCTCGGTGCAGCAAATAAATAGCTGCGTCGTACCCCCTGGCCGTTTGTACCACAGCAATTTGCAACTGTCCATTAGTCCCCGCAATGAAGTTTTTCACCAGTGTCGTCTTCTTGGCTGCAACAGCCACCGCTAGTCCTATCCCGAGGACCTTCAACCTGGTTAGCTCAAGTGCCTCCGACGAAAGCCACAACGGTCTCTACCTGTCAACGCAACATGTCGACCCACTGAACAGCAAGGCTGTCTTTCGCGATACCGCCGACGCTGCCGAATTCTACCTCCTTGACGGGACCGTGCGCTACAATGCGCCGAATGGAGCTCCCTACGCGTTGGCTCTCGTCTCTGGCGACGAAGTCCAGAGTGAGGTAGACGTTAGTGTGAGCCCTTCATCCGGTAGCACGGGCTTCAGTTTGACCAGTGATGACACTCTGGTTACTGATAATGAAAATTGGGGAGGATGGCTAGGTAAGTTTCTGTGTCTTGGAAACTCTTCGAGGAATTGTTAGGTGAACCGTCTTCTGTTGTCTAGTCTGCGACGGCGCTGGAGACCTCCCTGGTCTGTATTATCACAATAACAGCAATGGAGATGGTGTTCCAGATGGGTGTGATCCAGTTGAGCTTGATGCTGTCTACAAGGATTCCTCATAGGGGTGGTGTCATGACAGCCAACGACATGATATCCGACGGGCCCAGGACGCATATACTTCTCCTAGGGTTGGAGAACTAAGCCAGCCCATTCATGGGTTCTGGTCCACATGGACCTAGTAGGCTGCTAATGTATCATGCGGCCTTGCGCTTCTTAATGACGATACGCTCATATTTAATCGAAATATTACGCTCTAATTTGCTATGTACCGCTTCCTTAGGCCATCGTGTCTTGTTGGAGGAGAGGGGCGCCAAACTATGAATATATGGCTTTATTAAAGAGATAGAAATCTATGCTTTTTAATTGATATAGCCTTCTAGGGTAAAGTGACTACTGCACCTCAATCTTCCTCGGAGTAAATACAGTGTTGAAATTGTACTGCCGCACAAACCAGGCATTCCACAGTTTCCATTCCTGCTCGGGGTATGCCAGTCGCACCTGTGCATTCACATATTAGCATGATTCTGTTCACTGCCACGTAGGAATACGTACGTCGAATCTTCTCAAGAAACTTGGAATTAGTTTATAAATCTCCATCAATGAGATGTTTTTCCCGATGCATGTCCTCGAACCAGCACCAAACTGGAGCATCATGCCGTTCATAGTTTTTAACTTATCCTCTGAGGCATTCAGCCATCTATCAGGGTTAAATGTGTCCACATCGGATCCGAAAATTTCCTCGCGACGATGGAGCACCCATGGGCTACAGCCGACGATTGTGCCTCCGGGGATAAACTGGCCGGCGATATCTACACCGGAGGGAGGAGTAACACGCTCCAGGGGAAGACCAGCAGCGGGAAACATACGAAACGCCTCTTTGATACATGCGTCGAGGAATGGAAGCTTCTGAGATTCGGTCCACGAGACAAGGCCGCTGGGACGGTTTTCAATTGTACCATTCCGGATCGCCACGTCCAACTCCTTCCGCACCCGTCGCATGTACTCGGGCGTCTTCAGTAAATAGTAGAACACGGCTGCGAGACTGATGGCCGTCGTTTCGGACCCGGCAAAAGCCATGGAGGCGGCCATGGTGAGGACGCGTTTTTCTGTCATGAAGTTGGGGCGCAGCTCACCCGCCTTCATGAATTTGGTAAGAAGATCATTGCGAGAGTTGGGATCGATCGCAGCCTTCGAGGACATGCGCTCTACCATACGTTGGCGTGCGAAGATGGCCACGGGATGAGAATTATCCAGCAGCCCCCATTTTTGCATCGCATCGAAGATTGGGTTCTTCCAGAATACTTTATCCAACCAAGGCATCTGGCCGACTGGCCCGGCATAGTTGAAAATCCGAGCGAGGGACTTGATGATACCATCAATGTCCTCATTTTTCTCGATAAAGCCATGGCGCTTGCTGTAGGTAATGCTGCCGATAACGTCAAATGCGAAAAACTGCAGCCAGCGTGCAAAGTCGCAGACCTTCCCACCCGCGGCGAACAGGCGATCGGTCTGGTCGAGGTAGAGCAGCGTGGTCTCGTCCACCATGGGCTCGTACTGCACTAGTGAGCTCATCGAGAACGCATGGTTCACCGAGCGCCGGAGCTCCGCATGGAACTTCTCATCCAAGGTTGAGAACAAGGATGGTAATGGCTCGCCTTTGGAGACGGTCATCTGAACGGGGTAGAACTCGGACTGCAGTGTCGTCAGATTTTCCGCATAACGTCTGAAAACCCGGTGACACATACCTTGGTAAATCCTTTGTTCAACCCATAAATGACCTTGGTTGCAGCCGGGTGGCTGAAGGACAGCGTGTTTGGCCCGATGCGTACAACGTCGCCATGTTTGCGATGTAGCGCGATATGCGTCTCATGAGGCTGCCGGCCCCATACATCAACGAACCGCCAGAGGTCGGTGAACTTGGCCAGAAAGGGGCCAGGGTAGCGATTAAGGCCGTTGTGGAAATACAAATGGCCGATATAAATCAGCGAAATCAGCGGGAGGATATACAGTGCATGCTCAGGCGTCACTCCCGAGAAGATCTCCGCAAGAAGCGTCATGATGAAATGAGTCTGGCTGCGTTCTGAGAGATTGAGCCGATGAGAAGAGCACCCAATATTTATCTCCTCTCATCGGGTATCGTTGATCATCTCCAAGAGAGCAGGTTACATGTCATGCCAAACTGGAACGAACAGGGTCGGCAGTTGTGAAGGGGTGACAACATCCGATACATTTGGTGCCAACGTAGCCCCGCAAAAGCTCAGTGGATGAATGTCGCTACAGCTACGGAAGATTTGAGAGATGATATCGAGATCAAGAGACAAAGAATGGAGAACCCCGCACAGCACAACCCCACAAGGCCCACCGCTGGGATCCTGATGCTGCCCCGTTGACGTTGTCAAAAGCACCCGTCCATGTCAATGACACTGGTCTCCACCCCCTCGGGAAATCTGGGGAAAAGTAGCAAAGTTAAAATAAACTAGAAAGAAGTAGGTGTCGGCATATAGGCGGTTGCAAATTTACCGAGTTCTAAACATAAAAGAGCGGATGGGTGGGAACCATTCATTAGAAATCAGTACTTCCGGCGCTTAATTGGATGAAAGCGGTTCATATTCCACTCTGATTGGCAGTGATCTGTTAGAGGGTGTCCTATATCTCATCATATTATCTCAGAAAACGTGTCTGAATCAGCGATGCGTCATCTGCTGCTGCGCCTATATCGACCCAAGAACATTCAGTATCTTATGCTTCCTGTATCGCGATATGGCAAGTACATGCATCATATTGGGTCACGGCAAATACTAGCACCCTCGACTGCCGAGTTCGAACATTGTTCCAGGCAGACTTAGAGGTGAATCGTCCGACTGGCGATACTGAAAGGCACTACTAGAGGGCTGGAATCTAAGGATTCAACCTCTCGCATGTTCTCTAAGGAGCCCCCGTCTGGTTGAACAGATGAGTGATACGTTGATATGCAATGGAGCCTTTCAACTTTCTGGTCCTCCAAGTGGCTACCCTTAAACGTATAGGTGCATTCTATTTTAATCTGTTTATTCCAATACTTGCACATGGTTACGACAAGATCCTGCTAAGCTGGAGTCTCTTGATGTTTCTCACCTGGCCATTCTGACTGTTGTTGAAGTTCTAGACAAACCATATGGTCCACTCTCGCAGGGACAGCCGTACTAGCCATTGGAGGTAAAGAGTTCATCGAATACCCCGCAAGGCTTCTTCTACCACGCGCTCCACGATGAATATGGAAGGCATGCAAGTCCGGGTAGCCTTTGGTGTAGCTTCTTAGAAACCTTCAATGAAAGAGACCCGTACTCGGAGAAACGTGGATATCATGCTTTCAAACTTGTGTGGCTTTTAACTACCTATGACTTCATATTTCTACCCCTGTGTATATTTTGTCCACTAAGGTAGTTGTATGACCTATACTCCATGAATCCGAAGTCGGTAAATGGTTCGTAACCTCGCACAGGCAAATGAGACGAACCTGGGAAGAATTGTTCACCAGCTCTTGGAACAGAGGAGTCTGAAAGGACTAGCCCACATCCTCCATTAAACGACGTCTAGTTACTTATGACTGCAAGATCTCGAATTCACTCGGCGAACTAGATCTGCGTATATCGCAGGAAGGTCATGACCTCTTGAACTTGATTGGGTCTGCAACGCCTGTCCTCGTGCGGGCCTCAGCAAGTACTAAGCTAGCCAAGAAGCCTCGTCCGCTCCGCACCATGAGCTATAACCAGGTCGTGCTTAGCGAAGGGCATTAAGGTACTAAATGGAAGCTAAGAAAATCCCCGCATCCGGTGTCAGACTACTTCAATTTATGGAGACATCTCCGACCTCGTATTGGTGGGCCCTCGATGCCCATCTCACTATCCCGGCATATATACCGCGCTCTGTTGCCGAACCCGTTTCTTTATACCTTCACACCAACATCGACGTCTATGCCAAGCTCTTCCGCTGTCCACCACTGAATACTAGGGATTCTAGATCGTTTCACTGGTTAATTCGCGAGCCATGGCTAATTCTTTCCAGTTATGGTTGGCTACTCGAAGCAGCTCCCCGCCTGAACTAATCTAGAGCTGAACTTGGGAATGACATGGCATTGACTACGCCTCTATGACTACATAAAGCGGAAATACCATGCCCATCAGGCTAAATTGTTAGTCTCCCACTTTCATTTCTTTTCCATCTTTTTATTGACTTCGTTTTGTTGCTCAGCAATTCCTAGGTCCAAGAAGTTTCTCGCGATGTCTGAGGAAAAGACTTGTTCCCAGAAGGTCGAGGATGACAGTACCGGCAGTACGGAGGTGTATGATCCTAGTACGACTGACCGGTATGATCAGGATGCCTTATTTCCGGACAACACCTTGGCTAACCCCAGGCTTTTGTATTTCCAGATCTGTTCAACATACAGTGGAGTTGGATCCTGCTGCTGAGTCCCGGCTGCGATTGAAGATCGACCTCTACATCGTCCCCGTCGCGTCCCTGATGTACCTCTTTTGCTTCATTGATCGAGCAAACATTGGTATAGACACCCTACATGAGTTATCGTCTTCAAGCGGAGAGCTAAATCCTTTCGCAATGTGGATGGGTGATGCTAACGATTTGCATGCTACAGGGAATGCGAAACTGGCCGGGCTTGAAGAAGACCTGGGGTTGACAGGCTATGACTATAACACCTTGCTCTCTGTGTTTTATATTTCCTATATTATCTTCGAGATCCCGTCCAATATGGCCTGCAAGTGGCTTGGTCCGGGTTGGGTCATTCCTGCCCTGACCTTGGGGTTTGGGATATGTTCTTTGTGCACGGCATTTGTCCACAACTTATCAAGTGCTGCGGGGGTGCGCTTCCTCTTGGGTGCCTTTGAGGCAGGATTACTGCCTGGCATCTCATACTATCTGTCGCGGTGGTATCGGAGAAGGGAACTTGCGTTTCGCATCTCCATGTACATGGTGATGGCCCCTCTAGCCGGTGCCTTCGGCGGTCTGCTTGCTTCGGGCATCTTGAAACTTTCTTCCTTCGGCAGTTTGAAAGAGTGGCGCATGATCTTTGCCATTGAGGGTATCATAACGATCGGGGTTGCTATTTTTGCATTCCTGACCCTCACAGATCGACCCGAAACCGCCCGCTGGCTGACGCAGGAGGAAAAGGAACTGGCCGTTGCGCGGATCCGCTCCGAGTCAGAGTACGCAGGCGTGACCGAAGTCCTGGACAAGCTCGACATGAAGAAGACCATGCGCGGGATCTTCAACCCGGTCACATTGGCGACGGCTTGGATCATGCTCCTTGTGAATGTGACAGTCCAGGGGCTAGCCTTCTTTGCGCCTACCATCGTGAAGACGATCTACCCAGACCACAGCGTCATCTCCCAGCAGCTCTACACAGTGCCGCCCTACATCATCGGCGCTTTCTCCACACTCTTAATCCCCTACCTGAGCTCGCGTTTCAATCGCCGCCTCCTCTTCTTTGTTCTTGCACCCCCCCTCATGATGGCTGGATATATAATGTTTCTAGCCAGTGCCGACCCTCACGTTCGTTACGGCGCCACCTTTTTGATTGCATTCGGCTCTTTCCCTGTGGGTGTCCTTTGCAACGCTCATTCCGCAGCCAACGTCGTCTCAGACACCGCTCGTGCGTCAGCAATTGGAACTGTGGTCATGCTGGGTAATATCGGCGGCTTGGTCGCCACCTGGTCCTTCCTGCCATTTGACGCCCCCAACTATTATATCGGCAATGGCCTCAACCTAGCCACGGGGGCAGCAACTCTCGTAACGTCAGCCGGTCTTTGGTTCTGGTCAGTTTGGGACAATAAGAGACGGGACAAACAGGATGTGGACCGGGTGCTTGATGGGATGACTGGCCGACAGATAGAGGATCTAGAATGGCGACATCCCAGGTTCCGCTGGAGATTGTGAAGAGATAGTAGATTATTCACGGCGGATATGCGGTTAAAGTATTTGCATCGATCAAGATGTTAGTGTCCCTTATCTCGGACTATTTTGAATTCTCAGCTAGGCTCTCATTAGCTACCTTGGATAGCGATATTCCCTCCCATCCGCATCAGTGCATTGTAGACTAAGACCTTCTTCTATGACGGAGTATCCGGGGTGACCATTGGCCTTGATTCAGCACACTGCATCTGGCGATAGATAGGTGGACCCCAGGTCACCCAGTCAATGTATAGACCTCACCAGCTACACTTGAGTGAGAAGAACATTCCGCTAGCACCTGGAGGCCCGTCATAAATCATAAGTGGAACTCCCTAATACAAAAGAAATGCCTATTATCTATATTATATACATTTTTGGATCCGTGCGCGCAACATCCAATGCTACTCGTACGTGATGTTTACCTGCCGACTGACCATTATATCAGTATTTCCGCGGCCGTCGTCCTTGTGGATAATTTGCTTCTGGCTGTCCCCGTCGCTCAGCTGGGTATAGCTATCGCTGTTCTTTCCATGAACCCCCCTATCAACCACTGATGTGGTGAACGTGTTGTTGCCGCTCTTTCCGTGTCCAGATAATTCATACGAGGCGGCGAATCTCGAAGGGCCGGTCCGGCGCGATTGGCTGCTGTATCCTTTGCTGCGCACCGTTCGTTCGAAAAAACTGTGGAACAGTGGACGGAGTGTAGCGATATTCCCGACGATCATGCCGATGGCGTTCTCTGCAAAGCCCCAGATAACCACATTGGCGACTGCGAAGAGAAAGTCGGTTTGATTGGTGAGGTTGACGGTGTACTTGAGCCGGATACAGGCTGAAAGAGACGCCCTGCTGTGGGTTAGTATCTCATAGTTCAACTGGTTCGGCAAAGCTGCAACATGCTACGTACAGTATACCTAAACCCATCAGCCCGATGATAGATACTTTCGTGTTGCGGTCTAGCTGCACATGCCACAGCAAGGGGATAGGCCTAATTTCGCGGTTAGTCTTTGGCTTTCTTCCAAGACTGGCACATAACTTTGGACCCACATTAAGGCCGTAACCCAGTCTGTGGCTATATTCACAGCAGTGGTAGCGTAGTATATGTCCGTGAGAACATGAGCAGGTCGGCAGGAACCCCCCTTTTCAAGTAGACTCGGATTCCAGGCAGCCCTGAAACTTCGATTAGCAATCTGGCTTGTGGCATCAACGGGGTCGGTTGGTCGTACTCAGGCGGGGTGCAGTTGATGAGGATGAATACCAGGGCAATAATATTCATCGTCGCAAACATTGCAATAACGCCGTACTGGATATTGATGTACAGCTTCCGCCCCTCAGCCACTCGGATTAGCATCCAGCTGATGCTGAGCTTGATCGGAATGATAGCGGCTACGTATCCAACTTCGAAAATCAGGAAGTACTAAGGTTTCAATTAGCGTCCGAGTGTCTCCAGAGGACAAGGGATGTTTAGAACCTTCTGGCCTTCGGCCTGATACTTTGTATTCTCAGGCTTATTCAACAGAGTATTATGCACACCGATCCCGTTGAACGCGCCTCCAAGGCAGCCTGCCGCAAGCACACAGAAGGGTATCTGTTGTAATCGAATATGTCAATTGGGCTCCTAGATAGGCGCTCTCAAGGGGGCATTTACCACTGCGGAGGTCATAATCCAGTCTTCTGCACCCCAAGACCTTCTGCTCAGTCTGCAATAGACCCGCAGGGCATAAGTGATAAAGGCAACCACAGTAAGCATGATCACACTTCCCGCCACGTGCGGCGCATCGTCAGCAAATATGGCCATCTTCCACTGTTAAGCCAACGTCAATCGGCATACGGGGTGCAGTTGTTGTGTGATGGAAGAAAAACCATCATGAGAGAGGGAGAAGGAGAAAAAGGAAAAGAAAAAAAAGAAAAAAAAGAAGCAGCAAAAACAATGCTAAACCGCCACAGATAAGTTTCCCCGGCTCCTACTGTGGGGATTGGAGGCTCAGAATGCCATTTGAGTACATGACTCGATTCAACGCACTTTCAAGCCTGCGTCTTGCTCCAAGGCGTGATTAGGAATAGATAAGTTGCTCCACTTGAAGCAAAGTGGACTCCTCTAGCTGCTGGAATCGCAATTAAATATCGACGATCATTACAACCGCTGGCGCGCTGGCAATTCCGTGGGCAAGTTTTATAAAAGGATGCATGGATCGGCAGTCCCCGCTGTCCAACAGCATCAATGCAGGGATTTCGCCAGCATAACGGTGAGGCTTTCATATTCCTGGCTCATTATCTACGGTATTATGGTAAAAAAGGTTCTGGGGGATACGTCTGCCGAAGTTTGTTCTTGTTGCGCCTCTGATGCCTTGCTGGAGCGTATCCAAACTCGCTCAACGTTTCGAACTACAAGACCACAGGTTCCTCCCCGAAATGCTCGGAAATCGTTCCTCCGTGCCAAGAACGCCTATTGATCCCGGACGCTTCAGTCGAGTCGGACGGCGCCGCTTCAGTTGCGAGGACAATGCGCAGCATGATTCGAGAAGACCAATGGAAGTCCACCCAAAGGGCCCTCTTGAGTGTATTGCACAGTACAAAATGCCGACCGGAGAACGTCAAGCTAAATTTGCCGAGCGCTAATTTGCCACGGCGGTAGTTTTGCCCCTTTTTTTTCTCTTTTTGTTCCCACACATCTGGACTCTGGATTCTAAAGTGGAGTGGATTTCATTAGTCGGCGATGTTCCGATCAAATGTCCATTTTGGGAGATTCCGAAGCTCAAAGCCCTAAAAGTAGTGAGCAGACTAACATGGACTCCGTACGATCCCAGGCGGAGGGCGCCGGAAAGAAAGAAACAAAAAAAAAAGATGAAGAAGAAGAAGAAGCATAATTGAACAAACTGACAAAATAGACTTCAAGCAACAAGACGGTTAATTTTGCGATTCGACCTTCCTAGAAACAACCAACATGTTTCAAATCGTCCATGAATACTCGAATAGCCGAGTTCGGCAGACAAGAAAAGTTAGCCCTGCGATATCACGATGATCATATACCTGATCCAGAGTGGACTCCTGTCAGTCTGAATCAGAAGCTTCCAACAAGTGGATAACCTCGGAAGGTGAACCATGGGAATCCCGAGCAAACACGAGGTGCTTGCGCGACAGTGCGAGGAAAACAGTGCTAGTGTTCCCCGGTGTAATGCGCCTAAATCGCCTAGAGTGGGAGGCGCAAGATAGTTTCCAAGCCGCGGCCCGCAACCTCCCGTGATGTTGCTATTTTCGACAACCGCCCATCACCAAGGAAAATGCAAGTCTCTTAACGCTCAAGTAAGGAGCAAATGCAAGGGGACAAGGGCAGACACGCTCGCGATCCTCACACGTTCCGGAAAGGGACCGATTGAGTTGGCTGTGTGGCGATATGCACCCTTCAAATTCGAATTTCTATGCGTGAAGATCCACTCCAAAGGCTGGGTCGGCTGCCGCAACAGGGGTCGCACTCTTCCCTGTAAGTATCATCGGAATCAACTTCCTGGTAGGTAGTTGGAGGAAGTCCACGGACTGGTACATTGTAGCCAAGAACCCGATCAGGAAATCAGAAGTTTCTCACAATAGAGGCGAAATTGAACTCGGTTCAAATCCGAGCTGGTGCTCTATTCTGTCCCGTTGAGCTGTGCTCAACAAAGTTCCTGAAGGCTAAAATCTCTAAGCGCTTCTAAAGCCCTATCAATTTTAGAGGATCTTTTGCCACCTTACAGGCGGCGATGGATCTTAACTATAATGCTCTCCTAAGTAATTAGTACCTGTAATTTCAAGTGAAACGAGAAGGTGTTGCTTACTCGCGAAACAAATAGTCTAACATACTATGTTAATATGATGCTACATGGTGCTAGTCGGTGCCAAGCTACTGGTATGAGTAGTCCATCATAGCTTTTGCGCCTATAGGCTGAATTTAGCCTATTTAGAAACTTATCTGTCAAGGTCTGGCTAAGTCTTCACGAGCCATATTTATGCTACCACACATACATAGTTCCTCCTCTACCCCAGGATAATTCCTATGCCTCCTCCAAGGATGGACTGAGACATCAATGTATCGTAGCGAGAGCGCATTGCAGACGGAACTAGATCTCTAGCTTAAACCCGCCTTCATACGCGTGCAGATATCCCGGCTCGGCCTAGATGGGTGCGGTTGGCCTTCTTCACATGTTTCTATCATTACTCCCATAGTCAATGCAACTGCTTTGGGGCTGGCAAGGATGACGAGGCAATGGAGACGGACCGAGGATGTGGTTATGGTGAGAGGCAGCGGAGTGCATGCAATAAATTACCCCGCCACTCTGAATTTATAGGTGCCTTAGTTGTGCATAAGTCGAATGTCAACAGTCTCTCCACACTCGGTGATCTACCACAAGACGTTGGCTTCTAGGTTCAGGGCGTCGGGTTTAATAAAACTTGAGACGCGTCATGTATATTCTTCATATCACTTGAAATTCATGTGATACTTACTCGCAGTCACTATTTCATAGTTCGTATACCCAACGTATCCCGCAAATGCCGATCAGTTCGGCCCAAAGCCAAGGTTGGCCTCAGACGAATACTGTTATCTATCACACATCGGATATCCCGGAGATCCAATTTATTTGGGACAATGAGTCGGATCTGCCCTTATTCAGAATCTCCACCAATGATAAGATTATGGTACTTTCTTTACTCAAGCTATGGGATACTAAGACTATCCTAGAAGAAGCCATCTAGTCCTACATATGCTGTATCAAGCACCCAGTTTCTGTTTCTCTCTGGAAATACGCCGTTTGCTTAGCAGCGTACTTGACCTGAGAAAAAGACTAGAATCTCCAACTATCATGTTACTTCCCCAGCATCACCTCGACTTCCTGGCGAGCGTCTTTCAATTTCTCAGTAGTCCGGATCTCTAAGACAGCAGCCGGGTCAAACAAGTACCACGGCGCGAGGTCCTGGATGAAACCAATCAACCCGAGAGAAAGCGTTTGCACTGTCAATTGTTGACGGCCACAGCGCTCCAACCTTGGTCGGATCATCGTCCCATGCCTTTTGCAAGACCCACTGGATATCGCGGCCACTGCCAGAAGCTGCCGGACCCAGGTGCAAAGGCCACAATTTGGTCCAATCGACCGCACAGATCACCAGTCGGCCAACATTTAACCAGTTTATACCAATCGGATGCGGCTTATTTGCCAAGGTGACCCCTATAGAAGTCAGCGTGCGAAAGCCTTCCTCATAGGTTCTGAAAAATCAACTTGAAGACGAAGTTGCATCGGCTAGAACCGAGGTGGCTTAAGTTAGAGAGCTGTAGGTATCAGTAAGATTATTCAAAGGCCCTGGAGAAAGATTGATAGTCACCTCGACAGCCTTCTCGCGTCGTAGAATTTGTCCAGCAAGGACATGGTAGCTTACAGTGGATGGAATAGTCATGGAGATTATGAGTCTGGGAGAGAGAGTTGAGGAATGGTACGATTTGGTGTGTACACCTTCATTAAGTTAACTCAACACTTTTATAGTATTTCTAGAAGTAATAAAATAAAATTCCAAAACAAAAAGGCGAGCATGAAGAGTACTGCTTAGAACTTTGCTATGCCAGCCACAGTGGACTTGCACAAAAAAGACGACCTACCCTAAATTAAAGAAAATTCACTACTAGCACTCTAGTTCCCAATAATGGTCCTTCACCTACTGTGATAATGGTCGGAGTTCTCGGCACATGTGTTCGCTGGAGAATATGGCCTAAGGGTTTTCCAGGACGCATGCCATCAAACACAACCAGTCCCACATCTCCAGTACGCTGAATCACTTGGAGAATAAGATCAATTCAGTGATCCGTTTGAGTCTATATCATCAGCTAAGACCAACAATTGTTCAGCCTTGCATAGACGCACCTACACGTCCGAGGGATGTCCGCCTCAACTCCTCGAACGTCATCTCCTCTGGGTAATCACCGCAATGGACAAAACTCGCGCACTAGATCGATCCAGTGAAATTGGCGGAAAGCCGCGATGAGCGTGAAGTATTTGTTTCCAAGCTTGGTCGCATTTTCTTTCGGCTCATCAAGAGCATCCATGTCGTGTCCGTGGATGAGTATGAGATCCGCTAAAGTATGTGATTAGCTAGAGTGGAATGGCACGTGTTGAATTCACTCACTTACCTCTTTCTACATCTTCCCATGTTTTGCTTAACTCTGGTGGTACTGACCCTGTGAACAGTGGCGTGCTGCCAATTTGAGCGTGGAATTGAACATTCTGATATCTCATGACATCCCACAACGGAGCTCATGCTTGTTAGCCGACATTGGGTGTATATTAGATTTAGAGAAGCATACAGTGTACTCGGTGATACCCAATATCCTCTGTCCTCTGCCTAACACTGGGGAGCGTGACTACAAATAGCGCAAGTGATGTGATGAGTAAGAGAAAAGTGATGGAAAGGGGCCATTTTGGAATGCGCTGACTCCATGCGCCGTAGGAATCCTTGCCATGCACTTGCCAGTTTTCCTTGCTTAATTCAATATTCCCTAGCACCTGCTCATCCCGATATCCACCCATTCCAGGTCCTTTTAGCGTACCAGCAAGCCAATTTTCTATCCTCTTGCCGAGTAACTTTCGTTTCAATCTTTTAATTCTCTTCCGGTGCATCTCTTGGATAACTTGTTGATGCAGAGCACGGGCTGTCCTCCCTGGCAGTATGTCTCCAGACAGCATGTCTCTGAAGCATCTATTCATGCCGGTGAAGAAATCGTCAACACCATCAAACTCAGAGGAAATCTGAACGTGTGGGCTGTCCCAGGTGCAATGGCGGTTATGTTCACAGACTTGCTTGAAGAGATGCACACCTGCACCGTCCTCTATTGTCCAGCGTAGTACCCCATCCAACTCGGCTGTGTACGATACTTTTATGCATTTGACTTCCTTTAGTCGGCAGAATTGCAGATATATAATCTGGTGATCGTAGAATTCAACATTATACCACGGGAAATATCTGATGCTCTTCAATCCCTGTCCCCCCTGATGCCACCTGGATTTCCTACTGCTCAAAAACTGCACATGCAGGCCTCTTATCTATGGTGTATGTATGAGAATATTGACAAGATTCTGAACATTGTACCACAGGCGTATCAAATTACCAGGGGACGCAGGGTTCGGTGGGCAAATTCCGATGTGTATAGGCACTCTGTGGAATGGAAACTCATCAAATCCGCGTTGAGTAGCATCTTTCTTCTCTTCAATTAGCCATGATATATGTAATTTATCGATGCGGAACGCTAGCCATTGTTTTTTCTGTGGGTTAATACGAATCGAGACACTAATATGGGAGTACAAGTGATGTGATATTTCCGCGTACAACTCCTTGCTGGTGCGAAGAATAGCGAGACGTGTTTGTCTCCGCTCGAAAATTGGGGGACCGCTTATTGTGCGAATAATATGTCTTGGAAGCAGTCAGTCCCAGATACAAAGCCGCACTTCAGGCGGCAGTCTTGCAAGATTTCCCAGTCCAGCGTTTGTAAGAGACATAGTGGGTACTTGCTGGGGCGAATGTAAAAGCGACCAACACTTGAGGTCGCGCAAAAAGCCTAAGTTTGGTGGATATTGGTCCAACTAAGGGCGTGACTCGCTTGCAACTTGAGTGACGTGCAAATGCCGTCAATGGGATACTTTTATACCATGCCTTATATTCTAGGTTTTAGACACTAGAAGACGTCTAGCGGAGCAGTCGAATCATTGACGCAATGAATATAAGGCTGCGTGTGTCCAGCCATATAGAATTACGCTTTATAAACAGGACTATGAGCTTCCATGAGCATACTGCGGTGTCGTATGCTTCTACCAGGTGACTCTACATGAACCTGACATCTGCTTTTACTCAATACGAGTCATTGACTTGGAGAGTTTCAAGAAGTCACTTGATTGGTGAAGACAGAAGATAGCTGGAAACATAATCAGGTCTAATACTTGAGTAAAAAGTGGTATGTATTCGTAATGTATAGAAGTGAAAAGCTACAATTCCTGCTACAGTCATGTCAGGCGTGCCGATTCGCCGACAACTGATCGTTTTGTCAATATTGCTGAGTGCTCATTTAACTGCTCCCAAGCATGTGCATCATGGCATGCTTGTCGACTTAATCGGACCGCCCGCTTCGTGCGCATTCTCATCTCTGTTTCGTATACGTCAAATGCAGTCTTTTGGTCAGTCTGTCCAGAGTAAATTTGAGCAATAGCATCCGCCAGATGGAATGCATCCAGAAGCCCGTGATTTGCAGCCTCGCCGCGATCTAGTCTTCGTCAGCTTCCTTTCATTGTCCGGACAGTTATGTGCAGCTTACACATTGTCATAGCATGCGCAGCGTCCCCGGCCAGCGTCAAACGGCCATTCTTGTTATCCCAGTCCAGGCATTCCCAGTCCGCTAATTTGATTTCCAGGACGGGGGTCCCTTCAGGTATCTTTTGCACTGTATTTCTTAAAACGGGTACAAAGCCTTCAGCCCGGCGCTTCATGTTGGCCAGGCGGTCCTTATCAGTATCCGCTACCTCATCAGCGGAGGTATGTACCGGCCAGGACATGCAGATCTGTGCTCGATACCGTTCGCGCTCTGTACCAGCTGTTCCATTCACGAGTGGAGTCTCCAGCATAGAGAACCAGAAGAATGCCCCGGTCTCAGGATGACATCCTTGAAACAAAAGCGGATCCATAGACCGAAGCGGTTTAATATCCTCCGGGGAGAGATCCACAGCGACTCCTGTAAATCGGATCGGTAGCAGCACGTTATTGTATGCATCAGGTCTCAACATTTGTCTGATCGCTGACCGACTACCCTCAACTCCCACAACCATTCTTCCGGTCACAGAGGGTCCGTCACTGAACTCCAAATTCACCTTTTCTGGTACAGTCTCCAGATCCACGCCCACCACTCTTCGATCCCAGTGCACACGGTCCTCGATTCCGTGAAGCAAGGCCTTTCTCATTTTCTCCCGGTTTACGCGCCACCGCACAGACGGCGGGATCTTGAACTTCGGCTCGCCCGTGGCAAGATTTATAAACAGAAAATTCCCATTGTCGTTCAGTGCAACGTCCGGGTCGACTTGGACATCTTGAATTCGGGCTAAAACGTCTGCGGGAAGTATCTGCTGGAGATATTCCAGCGCCCAATGGAGGGTTATAGCCCAGCCTTGACCGCGAGCATCGGGCGTGGAGTCTCGCTCATATATTTCAAACGGGATACCTTTCTATTGGCTGTTAATATGGATTCTACTTTAACCCCCATGTTGAGGTTAAAGTGTAGGGTGAGCAAAAACCTTCTTTAGAGCCTGGCCGAGGGTTAAGCCGACAATGCCGGCGCCAACAATAAGAACGGGATCCATGGTGTTGCGAGTCTTTGTGATTTCGTCGAGGAGCAATACATGGTAAACGTGTTGTCTTTATGACTATTATTGCCATTGACATCATTATCATCTTGACTTGGGACTTTGGGTCGGCTAAGTTGAACGTTATCCGACGATCGGACCGTCGCATAGATAAGTGAACGCGATGCGGGGGTGGCTTTGGGCTTCAACCTCCCTTGCTGATTAGCATTGACTGTTGCCGTCGGAAACTGCCGATCGTCTGAGGACCGTTCAACCGCGAATCCGTGTATAAATCATTGGTATATTCACACTATATCCAACCATACGACAACAATCAGCCAGAGAAGCAAAAAATGACTGCACACGAAGCCCTGAACCCTATCCACCCGTCCGTCCTGCCTCATTTGGACCCAGTCTTTATCAAACTCTACAATGAAAATGTCGCCAACACCCCAAACAAGCCTATAGATTTGTCTATTTTGCGATCGAAATATTCCGTGCTGTACTCTTATGGCACCGGTCCAGCCCCCGAGCCAGCTAAAGTATATGATGCAACCGTTCCGGGATATAAGGGCGAATTGATCCCCGTCCGAGTATACGAGCCCTCGTCGCCGGGGCCGTGGCCAGTGCATATTGATTTTCACGGCGGTGGTATGTTTACTTTCTCATATTCGATTGTGCTCTTCCTTCCCTCTCTTCCAATCTTGAGATGCGATCTAGCAGAAGACTAATGCCGACCGTAGGCTGGGGTCTTGGTGACCTCGACACTGAAGCTCATATCTGCAAGCACCTGTCCGTCAAGGCAGACGTTTGTGTAATCGATATTGGGTACCGTTTGGTCCTAGAGCAGACGTTCCCCATTGGCATCCAGGACTCCTTCGCCGCCCTGCAATACATTCATGCCCAGGGCGGCTCCAAGTTCAACATCGACACTAGCCGCATCTCCCTCGGCGGCGTCTCGGCTGGAGGAAACATTGCCCTTATCGTTGCCCACCTTGCAAGAGATGCCAGCATCCCTCTAAAACTCGTTGCGGTGGGCACACCTGTCATTGACGATATCTCCAAGTACGCCTCCGCAAGTGAGTCGCCATATCCCTCCGTCCAACAGATGGAGCACGCGCCCACTCTCAACTGGGCCCGGCTGAAGTGGTTCGATAATCTCAAATGGGAAAGCCTTTCCAGCGATGCGGCCTTGAGGAAGAAGCAAGTAGATGAAATCAGTTGGTATGCGAATGCGATGAATGCGCCTGATTTTACCAACCTACCCAAGACGGTGATTTACACTGCGGGCTGTGATCCGCTACGAGATGAAGGAGAGGCGTACGCAATGAAGTTAGTGGAGGGTGGTAATGAAGTTACGCTCAAGAGATTTGAAGGCGTGCCACACCCTTTCATGCATATGGATAAAGGTATGCCGATTCCCACTTTTGTTGACCATGTTTTTAAGAGCATTACTGACGAGACTTGGCACAGACTTATGGCAGGCGAGTGAGTTTATAGACAAGACAGCTGCGCACATTCGTGTTGCTTTACATTAGCCTTGGTGTATTATACGTTTAAAGCAACAGAATCGGATATAGAAAGAATACTTGAACTATCGACGCCTTCCTTCTAGCCCAGTACTCTTGTATTCCTAATGACTCGTCGCGACCATGATTCAGCTGTAAATTTTGAGTGAATACTTTTGTGGTTTATAAGATTAGTAAATGAATATAGCCGTCGTCTGACAAGTACTAAAGCTTACCAGACTGGTCAAAAAGGCTGAATACCAATCTTACCCACAAACCCACTCCCCAAGTGTAAACTGGCTAGGCTTCGCTTTTGCATTTTGAAATATCATTTACACTGAATAAAACATTCTTAACCGTTGCCATGAGACACAGCCCTTTAGTATCGGCGGTCAACAAATAATAAGATCGCAGATGCTTGCTCTGGGTTGTGTTTTCACCGTGAGGCCGCATGTGTAGATAGGATGTCTGGAATTACAGCAGTGCCGATTACCACAGCTGTACATGATAAGCTCTGAAGACATTGTGAATTATGCATGAATGCTAAGATGATTTCTTCTGTTTGTATTTTCTCTTCCAATGCGCATATCCCACGCCCTAGCCTAAGAGGCCTGCTCCAACGCATACAGTTGTTTCGCTAATGCCACCAAGCTGTCCTTCAACGGCTTAAACCTCACATCCAACATCAGTTGCGCCTTTCCTGAATCACACGAGTAATGCGTATCCCTAATCCGTTTCCCAGGCTCCCCCTCTGCGATCCTATCCTGACTCTCCGGCAGCGCTTTTCTGACTATATCGGCGATCTCCTGCGTGTCGTACGATCCTTCCGTCACCAAGAAGCGCTGGTGAGACGGTAGATCCACGGTGAGCGCCTGGAGACTAGTCCGGGCAAGGTCTTCAACGTCAATCCAAACTAGAAATTGCTCGTCAATATACTACTTTATATTAGGACGACAGAAATAGCAGGATTTACCAGGAGCCTTCGTAGGCGGGATTCCATTGCCCTTCAACACATCCCACACGATCTGGTTGCTGGCATTCAATTGCGATAACGACTCAATCGGATGGATCATCTTGCCGAAGACCATTCCGGGGCACAAGGTAACTAGCTGATAGCTGACTTCGTGGTCGCGAACGTAATCCCACGCTGCCCTCTCGGCAATCACTTTAGATGCTCGGTAGGCAATTGGCTGTGTTGGTTAGTGCTGTGCAAAATGCAAGCTAGTCATAACAGACAGGAGAAGGTCGATGAAAAGGATACATACAACGAGACTCGCATTCTTTCCCTCTTCATAGGTCAACGGACACCAATCCTTCTCTGTATACACTTTCCCGGGCTGCAGCCCCAACGAGGCATCATAAACCGCCGCAAAGCTCGACATAATCACTACCTTTCTGACTTCGGGATACTTTGAAGCCGCTTCGCATACGGCGACGGTTCCCTTGAGGGCGGGAATAAGGAGCTTCTCCTCGAATTCCCCGGGCGCGGCATCGTAGGTGAACGCGCTCGCCAGATGCAAGATGCCCTTGCAGCCGGCCACAGCGGGCGCAAATTGGGATACATCGGTCGGGTCGGGGATAACTACCAATTCGAGGTTCGTGGTATCCACGCCTGCTGCAGCCAGGGCTGCTTGCGTCGCGGTCGCCTTTTGTTCGGAGCGGACTGTGCCGCGGACGTGGTGGTTTGTGGAAAGAAGGAGCGAGATGCAGTGCGCGGCAATGAAGCCATTGGCGCCTGTGACTAGGATTTTCGACATGTTTGGTTCTATGACTTTTTGCAGAGTAAAAAAAGTTCACTGATGCTTGTCTGCGAGAGCTGTCGGGCATTGCACGGGTTTTATGCTAAGCCAAGTTGGGGGGAGACTCCAAATGGTCGGTTATCCAACGTCCGTCGGATAATTGGGGTAAGAGCGGCGGAGAACTAAACCGATCGTCTCATGAATCCGACGCAATAACTTTCGGAAGGGTACGTACTGCTTATCCTTATCGAGCAGCTCTTGAGGGTGGAGTCTCTAGTCTACGAAGGATTGGATACGTAGGAAGCGAATTGCTTTCAGCGTTTAATTATATCATTCGTTGATGGCAGACTATTTGCAATACTGATAGTAGTAACATTATGAATCCTTGGCGCGATCGACTCCTAGTACATTAACCAGCCCCTAATACACATACCGAAAGTTCACGTCGTCATGGACGTCTTCTTCGGCCGTCCTTCCGTTCGCCAATTTCCCCTCCATGCGGCTTCTCGCCGGCGTTCCCAGGCGATCGGCTCTCGCATTTCGTCGCCCATACACAATGCGGAGGGCAGTGGATACGACTATCGCGCCGGCGTTGACCGCTACAATCGTGATTTTGGCCGGTATATACCTGATATCGTTAGATTTGACGGTGCAGAGAGCTACTCGTAGCGGTGCTTACGCAGGAGCATCCTTCGCCTGGAAGGTTTGGGGACCAATAACATTCGCAATGCTGAATGCAGCGGAGACAAGAGAGCTGCCGGACACCTGGAACGCTCAGTTATTGTTCAGTGTGATTGGAGGGATAGGAATATATACCTTCATCGTATACCCTTTGAAGTTCGCTCCAGTCCAGGCGAAAATCAGTGCCAATGGAGCCACAGTCTACTTCAGTTAGCTTCACTCTGTATCGCCCAGTCGGTAGGAAGGATATCCTATACCGTATTGACCATGTAAATGCCCACCAAGCATCCTGCCTGGTTATCCCTCGGCAGAAACGACATTAAACACGAACCCAGCAACGTCGGGATTAACAATACATCAATAGCCAGCCATCGCGAGAAGCCACGAGCGATGGCCCATGTAGACAGGATTGTTGCCACAATGCTGACTACGCCCGAGGGCATATTGAGCAACGCACTCTGCTTCGACGTATATCCGAAGTCTTTGATAAGAATGGACGAGAAAGTGGTAATAACACCGCTGGGGATGGTGATCAAAATGGTCAGTAGGACGAGAAGCCAGCTTTGCAAATCACCAAATGCTTCAATCACCGAGCCCCAGCGAAAGACTTTCTGGCCGACTCCAGCTTGGTCGTCTCGAAGACGTTGTGCAATTCGGTCGCGCTCAGTGGGACTGAGGAACTTGGCTTTCTCGACGTTTTCTGGGAGAACAAACAAGACCAAGAGAGAAGCAACTACATTAACCACGCCTATCACGACGAACATGATACGCCATCCATGGAAGGACATATTCGCAGGTGCGTGCTGAGCAGCGAACGAAATCAACCCTCCGACGATCTGGCCCATGCCTAAGCCGCAGTACCAGAACCCATATCTCGGTGTGGACTCGGCGCGAGTGTACCACATGCTCGTGTACATCGTGAGGGCGGGTGCTGACCTAGTAGTTAGTGGTATGTTCTGAAGCGAAGACACTGTGACATACCAATGACTGCCTCCAGCATTCCGAGCAATACACGTAAAGCTATCATGCCGGCGAAATTCTGTGCAGCTGCCGAGCAACACAGAATTACGCCCCAGAGGAGTACATTGACCCCAAGGACCTTGGTGATGGGGAATTTCTGTAGAAGAATACCTGCGCATATTAGCATATATCATAGGCTGGAAGATTCGAGTAATGCTATACACACCCTGGGGGATTTCGGCCACGGCATACGCCAGGAAGAACGCCGTTGCCAACCATGAAAAGTCATTCCCACTCATATGCAGATCAGTTTGAAGACCCATGACATTCGCATACTGTCACCAAGTCAGCGTATTTCACAACCCAGTGCCAAGGAGTGGCGCCCTCCTACATTCAGTGAAATCTTGTCCACAAATTGCAGAAAGTACGTGAGAAACATGACAGGCAGGATTCGCCAATCGACTTTCCGAAGCAGCGCCCGGTCATCGTGCAGATCGCCGACGGCGTAGTCGTCGCCGGACAATTTGCCGCTCATTCCGATATCTTTTTCGTTGGTAGGGGTCATTTTCACTGCGTTTGCATTTGAGCAATTTAGATTGAAGGATGGCATGATCTTAAAGGGATTCTAGCTAGAGTTAATTGAATGCAACTACACTGGTCCTAGTCCTCTGACGGTGTATACTTTCCCCAGACTGATAGCGACAGCCGGAAGTGGAGCCTGTTATGCATCCGTCGCATAGATAGGCCGGCTAGGCTATCGCACCGATAACGTCGGATGAAGCTTGCCGCTGCTATGAATGACCGTAGACGTCACGTCACTAGTCGTGCAAAGATATAAGACCCATCGAGAGTATGACTTAGGATCATCATTCGGATCAAACAAGAACACGCACGACAATGCCCTCTCGCACTGACTCTCCTCTGAACGTTGCCGTTATTGGCGCCGGTCTTGGTGGCCTTTCGGCTGCCGTGGCCCTCCGGCGTCAAGGACACTCTGTGACGGTGTATGAGCGATATGATTTCGCGGGCGAGGTGGGAGCCTCGCTCAGCGCTGCTTCCAACGGATCGAGGTTCCTCGAACAATGGGGTGTGGACGTCAAGGCCGCAAAGCCAGTACGATAGTCTCTTATGCCTGGGTTAAGCCAACACTAACAACCTCAGGTGATTTTGAAACGATTGATTATGCACGATTGGTCTACTGGGGAGGTACAAAGCGAGTACGGATTAGGAGACTATAAATCGAAGTTTGGGACGGTATGTCTTCCTTCCATACCTGAAGATATTGCTTGGCTAAAGAGTCACAAAAAAAGGATTACAACAACTTCCATCGGATCGATATCCACAAAGAACTTCTCAAGTCGGCCTTTGAAGAGCCCGGCGAAGGGCCGAAGTGTACACTTGAAGTGAATCATAAAGCTACTGCTCTTGATGCAGAAGCAGGTATCATCCAATTTGAAAACGGCGCTTCAACGACAGCCGATCTGATCGTCGCAGCTGATGGCATTCGTGTACGTCTTCTTGCCCCAATAACCCCGTTACCATTGACAAGGTACTAAAGAAGCAAGTCTTCCTCTCGTAACCTAATCGGAATAACCCCCAATTTCACCATGTCCACCTCGTGTTGCTACCGCTGCATCATCGGTGCCGATAAACTGCGCGCCCTCGGACTCGACGATTATATCTCCAACGAAGCCATCGAGTATTGGGGCGGGTTCGGCATCGACAAGATTGTCATGTCCCCCTGTAGCAACGGCGAGGTCGTAAGCTGCTACTGCTTCTACCCGGCAGCATATAATGAACTCCGTGAAGATGGATGGAATATCTCCGCTACGCCCCAACAACTGGTGGATACGTTCCCCGCTTTGGATCCGAGGATGAAGAAGCTGATGTTAAATGCGGAGGATATTAAAATGTGGCGATGTATGTATCCTCTCCTCTTTTTACTTCGGACGGTCCTCCTAACGATATAAGTGTATCGACATGAGCCTTACCCGTACTGGGTTAAGGGCAAGGTTTGTCTTCTGGGTGATGCTGGTATGTTTTTTTTTTCCTCCTCTTGATGGAAGATTCGATCGTACTAAGAGACAGCCCATCCCATGATGCCGGATCAATCCCAAGGGTCTTGTATGGCTTTTGAAGATGCCGGCGCTTTAGGCCTGGTTTTCCACCGCACATTCCGCGAACAATACAGCGTCGCCGAAGGACTTGGCTTATATGAAAAGCTGCGCAAGCCGAGAGCCACCCGTGTGCAGGAAGCTAGCTTTAGGGCTCGTGAAGATCTCAGCGAACGCATTGGTTGGAGTTCTTCAGCCGATCGGCCTGGGAAGTTGACGATTGAGGAAGTTTGTGGATACGACATGCAAAAGCATTTGGATGAGTTGGTCGCCGCGATTGCACAGTAGATAAATGAAGTTAACGTCTTATGTATTGACTATTTACAATATATGCTTTCCATTGCATCACTTCGTTATTTATACAACGTCTCATACAAATACCATCCCGGGGAACAAACTATATCTCACCCTGGCCCAATTGCAATCAGCCTCATCCGCCCATACAGTCTCCAACAACTGTCGGGCGTGCGAAATATGTCCAAATCCCAAAGTATTCTCCATAACCATTAGCCTTTCCTTGACCAACATCTGTCTCTCAACATCTGTGCTACTAGCCCCAGCAATTACCAGCGGGAAAAGTAAACATCCCTCTACAGGACTACCATATGGAATGGTCATCACAGCATTGAGAATAGGAGAAACTGCGGTTTCCACCATCTCGTGGTGCGGATCATACCCATCAACCACCTGATGCAGGCGCAGTCGTACCGCCCATTCAAAGGCCGTAGTAACTTGATCTGTCTCGTAGTCCGTACCCGCAGCGCTGTCATATTCCGCTCTCCACGAGTCCAACTGAGACCGAACATGGGAGGCAGCCGTTCGAAACCCAAGCTCGGAGAGTTCATCAACGCGACGACTACGGTGTGCCGCGAGCAAGTTGACCATACCTAGAAGTTCGAGCAACGCCGGGACCATCCCAGAGACAGCATCTACGGGGGCAGACGAGAGACTGCAAATGGACTGATTCGCGGTAAGGTCAGTAAGTTTCGCATCCTCCCGAAGAAGCGGTGGCTTGCAGCGGGATATCGTCGACATGGAGTCCAGATATCGGAACAGCTGGAGACAGAACCTCCCTTCCAGTGTCGATTCAAGGCTACTGTCTCCCACTGAAGCAAGGAGTGCACTAGCTGCTTTCAGATGCCACTCCCACGCATGAGAACTGCCATCGCATAGTTCAGTTAGACAGAGGAGTAGCACCGTTGTGCAGGCTTCCAGGGTGGATTGGCCGTCTGCCGTTGATAGAAGTTGCTTGACTTGCGCCAATGCTGTTTGGGGTTAGCTTCACTGGATCCAACCGCGGGGTTATGCATACCTTTTCCCTGGCGCGCTAATGCGCGATTCCAAATGCCTGGGTAGACACGTTTCCAATGGCAACCGCTCAGGCCTAGAATCACACTAGTCACCGTGTCTGAACTGGCTGCCATCGGTAGCAAGATCGACAGAAAGGGGTTTCCACCAGGATCCCCGGACCGCGATAATGAGCGCGCTACGATGTGTAGATAGTGATTGAATAGCGAGCGCTCTTCGTCATTGTGCAGATAAGGGTTGGCGGATCCGCAGGGCGATGCGACGGGGACGATGATCTCCTCCACGGCCAGCCATGGGAATGAGCTTCCTATCGGATCATCCACGGCATCATCGGAAGGGGAGATCGGATCTGGGGTTGCTAGAGATAGATTGCTTTCGGAAGAGGGGGGAAGCGACGGGTGGCTGGAGCTTGGGGATGACGGCGAAGCTTTCCATTGACAGGGGAGGTTTAAGCGGCGGCAATCGCTGCATCGAGGGTGGATCTCGTCGCATTTCTTCTTCCTGCTGAAAGTTAATACCCGCGCTAATACGTAGTAGCTCTTGTTTCGTGCAGGTTGTTTTACCTCGCCTTGCAGCACAGGCAACCACCGCGTGATCGGGATGCTCGAGGGCGTCGATGGGCTATGGTCTTGGGGTCTACTTTTCCGCCTGGGCGTTGGGGTTCGCAGATATGCCCTAGGCCTAACAGGAGGCCAGATTAGCTCAGTCATTCCATCTTGAATGTGCGATACACATACGAGCGCAGCGGGAACAGGGGGCATCCCCGTCACAGCGTTGTTTCTATTCACTGTCAACAGCGATCACATTATCTGGGATTTCAGTATGCAACGTACAATCTTTGCGCATCGCGCGCATACACGACCTGTGGAATTCATGGCGGTAGTGGTGAAGCCACGATCATAGCATCCATGATGCAGAGAATGAGGAGAAGCGACGGAACGAAACGGACTCTTATCGCTCCGACGCGACGGACGCTCTAAAATTGATAAAGACTCGCAACTCGGAGGTTCTATCGTCGGTGATTCGTGGATAAGACCAGGAGAGGCGAGATGCAGCCTATCATCGGCATTTCTCTTATTAATGGATATGCCATCCCCACCAGGACCGCTAATGCAGCAAAGACCTGGGGTAATGAAGGAGCACTGACACTTTTTCCCCGCATTCTGCCCATGGCCCCGGAGCAGGGAGTTATTCCGTCCTCTTCGCTTCCTCGGCTATGATTCCGTCTCCCAGTACCGAGTACTATATAACCCGATCTCTCCTTGTTCTTCTTTGTCTACCAGGTCTTCTATTTCCATCTTTGCAATATATATATTTATTGCAAAGGCCTACTTAACCCACCTTCACTTAACAAGGGACAACATGGATACACAAGCCCAACAATGACCGACCACGAGCTTTTATACTCTTTAACACTTTTAGTTGATCCCCTAGGCTACTTCCCTCTACGCTGACCACGTCGTGGACTCGGAAAGAGTTTCAGGCTACTAACCCTAATGAAACTACTCGAGTTTATTCCATCATCCAGACAATCACCCCGTCCGGCATCTGAGAGGGAAGGGCACGGGTTTCTAACGACAAGCGGAAGAGATTCGATTACCGTATCTCATCGTGAGATTGGGACCTGAAGATGGAGGCACGCCGGGCATCCCTTGATGCTTTCTGTCTTGCCATACTGTTGGAGTTTCAGTGTTGCCTAGTTCAATGTTGCTGGCCTTTCACTACTATCTAATGTGCAAAAAATTGAATATTATGGGCTAGAACCACCCTAGAAAAAGGGAGAGAGGAGGTCATATTGGTGTAAAAAGGAGCTTCCTGGCTTGAAGTTATAGATAGGCTCCTTCGAGGCCAGCAGGGTCATTATGTACCTTCAAGCTCATATATCTATCGGTTCGAGCAAAGACGTCCGCTCTGCCTTGTGAAGTTATGGTCGACATACCGGTAGACTGGCTATGCTTACAGAACACAGTTGGACGATCGGATCTTGCCCAATATAGGGGAAAATTGTATCTTAAAGGCACAGCTGTCAGGGGCCATCGACGCTCATCGGTCCTTCAGAGCGATGTTTGCATTATCATCATTGCTCCTGGGGAAATGGCTATCCGAGGACCATTTACAGCAAAGTCTAACCAAATCGATTGCTCGCTTGAGAACATGAAACTTTATAAAATAACGTGAGCGGATATCACTGAATACTCCGATGCTAACCTTGAGATATAGTTCAACCGGCAGTAGACTGATTTTAAGGTTGCTATTTTATTGTTCCAAAAGTATATATTTGCAAACCCGTTAATCTAGCATCGCCACCAGAATTACCTTTTCAAGATGCAGAAGGTTTTACATTGTAATGTTATAACTACATATAGTGAAGACAATATATACGTACATGGTTATATTTTTCTTTGAAACAAAAACTGAAAGTAACGGACACTGAACTGTGATTTAGATGGATCTGCATAGCAATGTATTAGTCTTCTTTCATAAAACTAAATTAATAAAAATTTCCCAATAACCCGGCCGGCTGGCCCAATGGCAAGGCGCTTGACTACGAATCAAGAGATTGCAGGTTCGATCCCTGCGTCGGTCATCATTTTTTCTTTTCATTTTTTTTTTCATTTTTTTTTTCTTTTTCTTTTCATTACTTACTACTACTCTCCTTGGTATTACTCCACCCGTCCCGTTCTCCACACCATTTTGTTTCGACTCGGTATAGCTTTCATAGAGAAGACCTCCAGCTACACCTCCTATAGCCATGGATGAATTTCTTTGGGGCATGATTATTATCATTTGCAGAGATTCCATGTGATCTGTCATGGATGCGGGAGTCGCAATCTAGAACGAGGCCAGAATTCACCCTAGCCAGTCCCTGTTGGTTGATCATTCTAATCTCATAACCATATTTGACGAAAAAGTACTATCTCCGCTTGAGGATCCAACAATGTCGATCGAGCGGGCACCAGTCAAATCGCGCCAGTCACGACTGATGTGTCTATCTCACGCACGAGAAAGGCTTCGGGACTGTGGAGAATCTGTTTTTGATCACGGCCTGTAGCGTAAGTAGCTGTACTGGGTGAGGAATGAGGGATTAGAGGAAGCTATCGTAGGTGCATTGATCGATACGACGTCATTATGTAAATGCAATGGATGGAGAAGAAATACGAGAAATGGTGTTGAATGTAGAGACCAATTGCAGGATCCAAGCTGTTGGGACTGGATACAGATGTCGTATATTAAATGGTCTCTTGATGACCAGGGTCTTCGTCCAGCGACGGATATTTCCCCGCACTCCCGCATGACTTTAGGTACCCAAAAAGCTGTTTCGGAACTAGATAACTCAAAAATTCAAGTAGGTAGGAACGTTACATACAGAAGACCAGACTTCCAGGGATTCGAAGACAAAAAAACAAAGAACTGGCGAGACCGAACCTTATCTTCTCTTTCTGTATCCAAGCGCCACGCTGAGCGCCCCTTGGAGCGAGGACCCGTGCGGCGTACTAATGTGCTCGGTCTCATTGGCGAGCGACCAGTGACACCAACCTCAACCACCCAATGGGGTAGACTCCACCTCTTCTGGGAGGAAGAAGACATGGCTAAGCATGGCCAAGAGAGTTTCTTTTGGCCGCAAAGGTCCGACAAAGAGGTCGGCGAGGCCGACCAAGAAAAGGAAAACACATGGTGGCGACAATGCCGAGGTTCATCCCAGTCTATAAAGAATATATACTAGGTCCTCCGTACCTCGCTACTCATATATATCAAAATCTCATTTTTGTTACCTAATAAATTGCTGGGAGCTTGGAGTTTGGGGGGCAAAAAGACGGTTCCTGTCACTGGGTTCCTTTTACATAATAAGCGGTGCTCCGTCTGGGGAAATGATTAGATTAGATTTCCCGGTCGCATTCTGTTAATAATGAGAACCAACGACATGGACAGGGATGGAGAAGCACCCCAGTAGTCTATCTTTTGACTTTATCTGGACCTCCATGGTGATCCTGTATCATGATATCCATGGCCACGAGGTTTGGATGACATGAACGGCCCGTCTTCTTTTTTTTCCCATCCGTTTTTGCCTGCCAAGATCATGCCGAGAGAATGTAAGAATGGCCAAGTTCGGGAATCCGACGGGTGGGGTCGGAAGAAGCGAGATTAGAACGAGATCCAGGGAGAAAATGGTGTAATCCAAGTCATTTCCAATCATGTGGCCGCCCCATCGTAAGGTAGCCTACTCCTTCCTACTCGAGTCACTACCTGCCATGGACAGTTTAGTGTTAGTGTTGGTATGAGTAGTCGAGACAGAGTTCCTGCTCTCCAGAAGAGAAAATACCTTGATCGGCTCTGATTGACTGGAATGTCGGGATTTAGCTTCTCGCAAGGTAACATCGCGTGGTCGAGTTTAAGCCTGATGGTCCGGGGTAGACACACGGAAAGGGTAAAACCGCCCAAGTCAGGTGTGGCTGACTCAGCCGCATGGCCAACCTCCCACCAGTAGACGACTCCAGGCTTCATCTCGAAGATAGGATGTCCTGAGTACCCCATCTATTGTGAGCGATAGGAGCTACAGCACCCATGGATGATTGGAGTGCCAAGGGCCTGAGGTTGCACTCCAACCTACCAGCCAAGCAAGCTGCCAAGCCATGGTTCATTCCCGCGACTGGTGAATTATACTCCGCTTGTGCTTCCTTCTCTGCGGTCAGACAGTTTTTGTTTGGGTCCCTAATCCGCTTATCGTCGCGTAATTGCATTCGGTTCAAAGTTCTCTATCTTGCCCTCTAACTCGGTCGGGTGGTTCCGAACCCAAGTGCCAGAGCCAAGCCGACCATTTGATGTCTCGTCCAGTCACCCATTTTCAATGATGAAGGTTTTGTCCATCTGGCATAAGGCCACTGGGGATTTTCCCGGTTATCAACGGGTGGTCTTATGTTGGGGACCAGTGACCGGTTGGAGATAATCCTCCGTGGCTGGCCTTGGATCGTATAGAAGATAGGACCAGACGACCTACTTTACTCGGGATGGAAGGTGTATGGAAGTCGATACTAACGTACTTACTAGTCATTGGCATGTCGGAGTAGGCTAATCTAAACCACGAGTGGCAATTGGACCGGCATGGGTCATGGCACGCGATAAACCATCCCAATTGCCTTTTTTTTTCCTTTCTTTTTTTCGCTTTTATGATTTATTATTATTATTATTTTGGGTGACTTTGGTTTGACACTTGATTTCCCCTCTCACTCGTTCTTTACCACGCACCCTCCCCCAAATCCTAATTCTCGTCCCACATGAACCACCAAATGGTATTAAAAGCCTGAATCTTCTCCCCGTCTTCCATTTCCTTCTTTTCCATCCCGACCACAGTCACATACACATATCTCCCCCTCTGTGTTCGTTTTGTCTGCGCGCATTGCTCGACTCTCCACCATGAATTCCTCCGACCCCACGGAGACGGTCGAGGTTACCAAAGCGACGGCCAACCTGCATGATGTCCACCTGGATGAGAAGAAGCCCGCCTCTATTGATAAGGACTTGGCGATCACGCCGAGTATAGAAGAGGTCCCGGCCACCAAAGTCGTGGGCGCAACCGCCGGTGATACCGATCTCCAGAAGACCTATCCGACCGACGAGGAATTGAGAACCCTGCGTCGAGTGTGCGGACAAATCCCATGGACCGCATACACCGTGGCGTTTGTGGAATTGTGTGAACGATTCTCCTACTATGGAACGACGGCCGTTTGTGTGTCTCTCCCCATTGGCTTATCCTCCCAGAAATCGCTTGCTGACATGCAGTAGTCGTCAACTTTATCCAGCGCCCCATGCCGGCAGGCTCCTCCACTGGTGCGACCTATGATAATTCACGAGTACCGGGAGCGCTGGACATGGGCCAACAGGCCTCCACTGGTTTGACCTTGTGTAAGTCGCATGCCCTGTATCGATAGTCCAAGTGAGTCCTGACCGTCTAGTCAATTCCTTTTGGTCCTACATTATGCCCATGGCCGGTGCATTCCTGGCCGATCAGTACTGGGGTCGATTCCGCACGATCATGTACTCCATCGCGGCCGCTTTGCTCGGTCATTTGATCCTGGTCATCTCCGCTATTCCCAGCGTGATCTCCCACCCCAACGGCGCGATCGCGTGTTTTTCCATCGGTCTGATCATCATGGGTATGGGAACGGGTGGTTTCAAGTAAGGCCTCTACCAATCCTCCTCACACCGAGGCTCTATATACTGATGCCCGCCAGATCGAATATTTCGCCCCTCATCGCTGAGCAATATCGCGAGGAATATCCATACATTAAGACCCTTGCCTCAGGGGAGCGAGTGATTGTGGATCCCGCCATCACCGTCCAGCGCATCTACCTGTACTACTACTTGACTGTCAACATCGGTTCCATCACGGGCCAAGTGAGCATGGTCTATGCCGAGAGATATGTTGGGTTTTGGTTGTCGTACTTCCTGCCAACATGCCTGTTTCTGTGGTGCCCGACGGTGTTGTTCTTGTGCCGGAACAAGTACTACCGGGTGAAACCACAAGGCTCCGTCTACGGACAGGCGTTCCGGCTCTGGAAGCTGGCGATGAAGGGGCGGTGGTCGTTGAATCCGGCGCGGCTGTAAGTGTCCCCACGTGTTCCGTCTGGCCAAAGCTATACTGACCAACCAGGTTCAAACGCAACGACAAGCCATTCTGGGACGCGGTCAAGCCGAGTGCTCTGGGCCCGAATCGGCCTCAGTGGATGACTTTCGACGACGAATGGGTCGACGAAGTTGCTCGTGGCCTGAAGGCATGCAAAGTGTTCCTGTGGTACCCTCTCTTCTGTATGTCTTCCCCCATTGCCGCTTGCTTCCCCCATACTAATGGAGCGTTGTTCAGGGCTCGCCTACAACCAGATGTTGAACAACTTGACATCCCAAGCGGCCACTATGCACCTTGGTGGCGTCCCCAACGATATCATCAATAACCTCAACCCTCTTTCCCTGATCATTTGCATTCCGATCTTTGATCGGGTCATCTACCCTGGCTTCCGCCGCCTGGGATTCAACTTTACCCCCATCAAGAGAATCACGTGTGGGTTCGTTGTCGCCGGCTGCTCCATGATCGCGGCCACGGTGATCCAACACTACATTTACGTGAAAGGCCCCTGCGGCAAAGAGGCCAACTACTGTCTCGATGAATATGGAAAGTACTCGCCCATCTCCGTCTGGACCCAGGCGATTATCTACATCCTCGGTGGTATCTCGGAGATCTTTGCCTCCATCACCTCCCTCGAGTATGCCTTCACCAAGGCGCCCAAGAACATGCGGTCGATCGTACAGGCCGTCGCGCTCTTCATGAACGCCTTCTCCTCAGCCATCGGCCAGGCCTTCGTCGGCTTGTCCAAGGATCCCCTGCTGGTGTATAACTATATGGTGGTGACGATCCTGGCCTTCATTGGTGCTATTGGCTTCTGGTTGAGCAACTACAAGCTGGATCGGAGGGAAGACGAGTTGAACAACCTGCCGCAGAGCAAATATGTCGAATCGAGTGGCGTGAGTGTGGACGAGGAGACTGCCCGGAAGTAAGCGAACGGACCGGTGCGCCATATACCCTGTTACGTGGAGATGTAATGTGATGTTCGTTATGTAACTTATTCAGCTATGTTTGGTGCATTGACGCCTCTCAACTTTTGATTATGATCATTCCCCGTAATCCGTATTCTTGACCATGCACATGTCAAGGGCGCAGGAACCAGCCATTCTGTCCTGAACATCGTCCCCAGCTTGCAGGCTTCCTCCAAGGGGAGAGATTTTTAGTGCGATGCCGCGTACCTGATTGTAACCGTTATGGGTGGCCTGAAGGTTGTACCTAACCAATGGTGATGTGCAGGACAACAATACAATCTTAAAGACGAAGAAGAAGACAGAGAAAAAGGGAAAGGAAAAAGCGAATGCGAAACGATATTCGCGAAGCGTTAAAATACTTAGTTTGGTGGTCTCCGTAAAGGCTCTCTTGAGCTAGACAGGTCGGGTGCGCTAGCGATTCCCCCTTGCATAGATAAGATATCATATGCATCTCACCAATAATTAAGATAGTTACGTACGTACGTACATCTCAAGTAGTTCCCAGCTTGCCCATGCATATCACCACCATCTACGAATATTTCCGTGCCTAGAGAATAAAGAACAGAAAAAATAAGACATTGTAGAGGATGAGCTCATCTTAGAACCAAGCACGTAATCTGACGCCAAATCTCCACTGTGGAGCAAAGGAACTTTCCGTTTCTTCAACCATCAACTTCTTTGTGTCAGAACAGCAAAACTCTTGACTTTATTATGCCAACTATATAGGAACATGTGATTTTATTATCTTTCCCATTTATATAACAAGCATTTATCTGGTGTACCGAACGAAGGAGGTACTTGTTCGGAGGCGAGGGCGTGACTGTTGACAACCCTAAATCAGTGAGAATGCATTTGCCATGAAGATGCTCAGATACGGCGGGAAGGGGACGATCATCAAATGGCCCCCCTTTATTGGATGATCATGATGCCATATCCGCTAAATTAAGAATCTCTGAAGGTCCACCGCGTTGAAAGAATCCTTGTTGAAGGTCATCTGGGCAGTCAACCTTGTACCGACCATATACTATTGCATCTGCAGAGCTTTTGAGATCTCATACCGATAGCTGTAGCCGAACACTCGTACTGGTGGGTCTGAACTTTAACTTACATACAGCACGGCAATATTGAATGGCATTCCACCTCTGGATTCGCTTCACTCCCGATGTATGCTTGTTCCTAGACGTGCGGCGCTCGCCCAGCTCGGCAAATCGTTTGATGGCATCATGCCGTCGCCCGCAATCGCAATCGCGATTGTGGACCCCCAAGGCTGCCCCCCGCATGCGAGCTGTTCCCCACATCTGAGCTAATGATATATTTATGGAGCCCAGTCGCAGATTCTGTACAGCTTCCCATGCCAGCTACAACTTCAGTCCAGCCATCATGAAGCTCTCCAGCCTTGCAGCCCTGTCGGGCCTTCTGGCGGTTTCAGAGGCTCTCCCACAGCAACAAATCCTGCAGAGAAATGTCGCCAAGAAGCCCAATTTCCTTTTTATCATGACTGATGATCAAGATCTTCAATTGAATTCGACTGCATACACCCCGCATATCCTGAGTCGGATCAAGGAGAAGGGTACCGACTTCGCAAATCACTTTGTCACCACATCTCTTTGCTGTCCTTCGCGAGTCAGTCTGTGGACTGGACGTCAGGCTCATAATACCAATGTGACGGACGTGAGCCCACCCTGGGGTACGTGACTATCTAACCCATGGCATGCGGATTATACTAAGTATGAATAGGTGGATATCCGAAGTTTATCTCGCAAGGCTTCAATGACAATTGGTTCCCCGTGTGGTTCCAGGATGCTGGTTACAACACCTATTACACCGGGAAGCTCATGAACGCCCACAGCCTGAGCACCTACAATAATCCGTTCCCCAAGGGCTTCAACGGGTCAGACTTCCTGCTCGACCCGCACACCTATTCGTACTACAACTCCACCTACCAGCGCAATCGCGAACCACCCAAAAACTACGAAGGTCATTACACGACCGACGTGATCACCGACAAGGCTCTGGGATTCCTGGACGATGCGCTGGAGAGTGATCGACCTTTCTTCGTGGCTGTTGCGCCGATTGCTCCTCATTCAAACCTTGACCCGAACCTCATGGGCACTGGCGCAAGCATCATGACTGAGCCGATTCCTGCGCCTCGCCATCGGCACTTATTCCCGGATGTCAAGGTGCCCCGAACTCCTAACTTCAACCCACTCAACGTACGTATACTCTCTCTGAGCCAAGGAAGGGGTCTACTGACCATTTCAGCGCACCGGAGCTAGCTGGGTATCCAACCTTGCCCTGCAGAACCAGACCGTAGTTGACTACCAAGACCATTATTATCGCCAGCGACTGCGTGCCCTGCAGGGAGTTGACGAACTGGTCGACAAACTGGTATCTCGTCTCGAGGAAAGTGGCGAGATCGACAACACCTACATCATCTACACCTCCGACAACGGATTCCACATCGGTCAGCACCGTATGCCCCCGGGAAAAACCACTGGTTTCGAGGAAGACATCCGCGTCCCCTTCTTCATTCGAGGCCCGGGCATCCCCGCCGGAAAGACCGAGGACAGCATCTCGACGCATATCGACCTGGCCCCAACATTCTTTGAATTGGCCGGCCTGCCGCTGCGCGACGATTTCGACGGCACGCCATTGCCGATCAAGCGAGAGTCGGCGTCAGTTTCCCATGAGCATGTTACGGTGGAGTTCTGGGGCAGTGCCGTTCTGGAGGGTGACCTTTCTAGGATCGGTATGGGCTTTTTTCACGCTTCCCAGTGACACCCTTGATGTGAGCTAATCGAATCACCAACAGGCCCAGATGGAGATACACACATGCCGAACAATACCTACAAGTCTGTCCGTATTCTCGGTGAGGGGTACAATCTTTACTACTCTGTATGGTGCCACGGCGAGCACGAGCTGTATGACCTAACAGTATGTCGTTGCAATTCTCCTGTCCTAGTGAATTATACTAATGAGCCCAGGCCGACCCTTACCAAATCAACAACATTTACACACCCAAGAACACGACCTCCCAGCTCCTCGAGAGGCCCCTGCAGGCGGTTCTCACTCGTCTCGATGCTTTGCTTCTCGTTCTGAAAACCTGCCAGGGTTCCACCTGTATCGAACCGTGGAAGGTAATTCATCCTGACGGTGCTGTGCAGAGTCTGACAGACGCGCTTCACCCACGATTTGATATCTTTTACCAGAAGCAGCCTAAGGTATCGTATGATCATTGTCTGGACGGATATATTCTTTCCAACGAGGAACCGCTGGTTGGGCTGCAGTATCGGGATGGATTGAGCTGGTCGGCATGGACTTGATTTCGATAATCATGAGGACATGAAAATTATTGTAATGTATAGAGCGATGGTCTTGTAGATAGAGGTTAACTTGTGATACCATAATTGTCCGAGCTGTCATTGTAAGCGGGTTGTACAACAGTCATTAGAAGTTAGTATGTTACGGAAGAAATGTTATTGCACTACGTCTATATCGTGCTATCAATGCTTCCGATATCATGAACCAATTGAGCTAGCTGGTTCCGGGTATATTGCCATTACACCGATATATACATTACTTATCATCGTCAGACACAGCGTCAAACTATATACAATCATCCACTAGATATGGAGCGAGGCCACATTCTTAGTAATGAACTCATACGTATCGGATCGGAAATCATCCTTGAGCAGTTTCCCCGAATAAGCCCGGAAGTTCATCAGCTGCTTGTCCTCCTTCCACTGCGGCCACTCCATAAAGTTGCCTCTCCTTGAATTCGGATCCTGGTCGTACACGAAACTGAAGTAGTAGGCGTGCGTCGACCTGGAGGCGTAGTTTGGCAGGATGCCGTAGAAGACCTCTAGGAGGTCACTGGCGTGGAAGGTTCCCAGGATCGGGGTGCCATAGTCATACGAGGAGAGGTATGACCAGCTGGGAACGTCGGGTTTGACATCACTTGTCATCTGCAGGACCACACGCCGGGTGAGTGTGAATGTTAGGTCGCCCAGGATTGCGGCCAGTCGTTTGAACTGCGGATACCAGTTGTTGAAGATGCCTGTTCGGAACGGAGACCCGTCCTCCGTGATTGTTTGATATGTGCCTACGAGCTCTTGGAGCTGATCCTGCGAGGCACCGTAGAAGAAGTACTTGGATAGGTAGTTGACGATGTCGTCCGTGGTGGTGATATTGAGTTGGAACAGGGCGAATATTGTTCCCTCGTCTTCCTGATCGCCGATGATGAAAGGCACCGAGGCGTACTTGCCTGCCTTGCCGAGTACTTCAGGGCTATCGGTGAGGACCTTTCCGTCTGGGCGAGGGAGGTACGACAGGGCCACAGAGTGGTAGCTCAATATGCCAGGGACGGAGTTAGCGGCGTTGAGATAGTCCGTGTAATCGAGCTCTCGCAGGCATTGCAGGGTATCTGAAGCATCGGAGCAGCCGGCACTAGCCACGACAGCATTATAGACGGCTTGCCCTTTGACTCCGTCGACTGGGTCGGCGGGAACGGCCGACCCGGAGTTCATGATGGCGCCGTGGAACAGCGGCTTGCCCTTGTAGGTGTGGTCCCCCTCATAGAGCATCATCTGGTCAAAGACGGAGATGGATCCCGCCGATTCACCCCAGATGGTTACCTTCTCGGGATCACCACCGAAAGCCGCGATGTTATCGGCGATCCACTCCAAGGCGAGTCGCTGGTCCCGGAGACCCAAATTGGCCGAACCATCATCGAGGATCTCCTTGCCGGGTAGGAAGCCAAACCCACCGACGCGATAGTTGATGGCCACGAAGATAATTGGCATGTCCAGGTCCACTGAACTGGAGACCAAGGGCGCCCCATCGTACATGGCTGACGATCCAAGCTCGAACCCACCGCCGAAAATCCATACGAGAACGGGTAGCTTACTTTCCGCGGTTGTTCCGGCCGGCCGATGGACATTGAGAGTCAAACAATCTTCCCCAGCATTGGTGATCTTTTGGAAGAGCGGAATATTAATGAGCTGACCGAGCACCGAGCTCGGAAACTGGGAGGTATCCGTGGTGAAAAAGAACTGCGGGCAGGCCTTAGCAATCCCGGTAGCCGTGATTGTTCCCAGAGGGGACTCTAGCGCCTGGGGTGGCTTTAGGCGCAAAGAGCCCGTTGGCTGTTGCGCAAAAGGGATGCCATTAAAGCGCTCGATCTTACCAGAGCTCCCCACTATCGTGG